GTAGTATGCCTTCATGTAAGCTGCTTCTTTAGCATTGTACTATATTTTTCTTGCGTTGATCAAAACAATGCTATTACGTCATAACTAATAAAATGATAACTCCCAAGTCTTTGGTTTTTCTTCTAAACCCAGATAAAATGGTATCCAATTGTGTTCACAGTTTCATGCACTATGAAAGTGTGTTGGCAATTCTTTGTTCGTGTTTTGCAATATTTGGCATGTAATCCACTTGTGTCAAACAAAAGGTCTTAGCACTGGTTCTTGAAATAACTTCAGAAAGAACATGTTGTCCATGTTCTAAAAAAACTAAGGGGTAAAACTGGTAAAAATTATTTGATTGAACTTAGTCTCTGAGCATAGTGACTGCACTCCTTATGTGACCGTAAAGCTCCTTTTGTGGCTGCAGATACATTTTTTTAGATGATCAGTTCTGTAAAATAGTGTAGCATTCAGCATTGTTAAGCAGAATGCTTCAGCTGAGATAAACTGTAGGTCCACAGTCCATACTATTTAAAAAGGAAATCTTCTGTGACTGAAGAAGTCACTGCATGGCAAAAGGAAGATTTTCTTGGAGCAGAACCTGAATGTGAAATTTCAAATCTTGATAAGATATGATGAGAGCACCTTGCGATAATCTGAAGGTTCAAGCATAAGTTCTGTTTTAGTAGATGCTCTAGTTTTGTAAGGTGTGTATGTGAAATGTACTTGATATATTGTGTGTTTTCTGTAAATAACATCTGAGAAAAAATTGATTTTGAGCTTTTGAAGAAGTCTGGTATAATGCTGCAGGAGCTAAAGGAATTGAAGGCATATGTTTATTAATTTGCATAGTTACTGTTGATCAGTAGTGATTGACATTAAAGATAAAGAAGTGTAACAGTTGCTAGTAATACCTAGTCTCTTGTTTATAAACAAAATATTTTCATCAATTAGTAAATGGAAAAATATATGAGAAAAACAAGGTTCTTCGTTGTGCATGCATGGTCATTATATACCTTCTGTGGAGGCTTTTGCTTCAGTGTTCCATCTTCTCTCTGGAATCCTTTGCAGAAATGGCAGCAGATAGAATTTATGCACAGGCTTCCTGGTGCTTATATTCTTGACTTCATTGGTGCAGTAGAGCTAGAGAACTACATGAGGAATTTCTGTTGGTCTGTTATTCCAACTTCTATCTCCAGCAGCAGGTAGACAGCTAAAAATTAACTAGAGTCTTGCCTTCTAATGTCAAATGTACAGAAACTTTATTTTAAGTATATCTGGCAGTATTTTTTGCAATAAAATATACACTTCAAAATTGGTTTAAAAGTCTGTTTTTCTTCCCTCAGACAGTTTTCTTTATGTATTTATAACTCTTAAATCCAGAAAAAAAAATCCTTTTGATTATTTGTACCATAGAAACGTGTTTCAGTCGAGTTCACAGTATGTCCATACTGATTGGAATGGTGAGCAAGCAGGAAAGCATATCCTCTGATTCTGTGACTTTACATAGGAAATATGTTTTCCTATAACCACATCATTTAAGTGTGATAAGTATCTTGTTTCTGCATTTTTCAGAAGAAAAATGAACGTGGCAATAAAGTAAGGGGTGAACAAGATGCAGACAAAAAGGAAGCAGTATAAAGATGAAGCTATTTCAGATCAAAATAGAAAGTCTGTACTGTAATGTTTAGAGGTTTGTGGATTGCAGATACAGAATCATAGAATGGTTTGGGTGGGAAGGGGACCTTGCAGATTTCCCATTTCCAACCCCCTTGTCTTGGACAGAGTTGCCACCTGCTAGATCAGGCTGCCCAGGGCCCCATCCTACCTTGCCTTGAATGCTTCCAGGTGTGGATCATCCTTAGCTTCTCTAAATAATGTGTTCTAGTGCCTTGCCTCTCTCATAGCAAAGGTTTCTTTATTACATCTGATCTAAATCTGCCCTCTTTTAGTTTAAAACTATTAGCTCATGTCCCATTACTATGCTTTCTAATAGAAGGGTTCTTTCCCATTATTTCTTACATGCCTCCTTTAAATGCCGGAAGGCAGCTGTAACATCTGCCTGGTGCTTTCCCTTCTGCATGTTGAACAACCCCCAGCTTCTAGCAGCGTGTCTTTGTAGGAGAGGTGCTTCAGCCATCTGATTGTCCTTCTGGCTCTCCTGTGGACCTGCTGCAACAATTCCATCTCCTTGTGCTGGGGGCTTGAGATCGGAATGCAGAACTGCAGTTGGGGCCTCATGAGGAGTAGAGTGGGACAGTTGCCTCCCTTGCCCTAGTGGTCGTATTTCTTTTGATGCAGCCTGGAGTACAATTGTATTTCTGGGCTGCAATAGCATGTTGTTGGCTTTTGTTGAACTTCTCTTTAATCAACACTCCCAGTCCTTCTCCCATGGATTGCTCTCAATCCATTCTCTACGCACCTGTATGACACAGGTGTAGGGCTTTGCACTTGGCCTTACTGAACTTGATGAAGTTCATGTGGGCCCACCTCTCAAGGCTGTCCACATCTCTCTGGATAGTATATCCCCTTTCTCCAGCACGTGAACTACACAATGCAGTTTTGTGTTATTGATGCTCTTGATGAGGTTGCTTTCAATTTCCCTGTCCTTATTGCTGATGAAAAAGTTAAACAGAGCTGGTCCCAGTATTGTGACCCACTTGTCACTGCTCTCTGCTTGGACAGTGAGCCGTAGACTGTATGTCTCTGAGTTGAGATATGTAGCCAATTCCTTATCTACTGAGTGGTCCATCCAGGATGCCATTTAGGACAATGTCAAATGCTTGTAGAAGTTCAGGTTGATGATTTCACTGACATTATAACCCCACGGTAAAGGCCACAAAATTGTCAGGCATGATTTGCACCTAGTGAATAAATTTTGGCTGTCCCTGGTTGTGTCTGTATGCCTTAGCATAGAGTCCAGGAAGATCTACTCTGTCATCTCAGAGTGCGTAGAGGTGAGTCTGGCTGGACTGTAGCTTACCAAATCTTCCCTTTTTGTAAGTGGGGTTATGTTTCCCCTTTTCCAGTCAGTGGGAACTTCATCAGAATGCTGTGACTTCTGGAATATGATGGATAGCGTCTTAGCAACTTTATTTGCCAGCTCCCCCAGGACCTGCTGATGCATCTCCTAAGATCCCTTGGGCTTATGCATCTTCAGATTTTCTTAGATGGTCTCAGGGCTGCAAACTTTTAATTTTATTAAAGTCTGGGTACAAAAGTCTCTAGAAATTAAGTGATTCAGAGTTATAGAAAGAAAGAATATGATTGATTGAGATAAAAACCTTTAAAATGGAAGTGAAATAGCTAAAATGTCCAGTGCTTTAGTGGATTAAATGCCCCCCATATGCTTTGCAGTCCTTCAGATGCTCAGGATAAATATACTTCTTTGGCCTTATACCAGCTTTTTCTGGCTGTTGTTTCTACTATTCTAAATGCTATTTACAATGCTATTGACCCAGTAATCCCCCAGAAGTAGAAGCAGCCTCTCAAAGGTGAGTGCTAGTCATGTAGCACTAGCATCTTTCTGAGGCATAGTGTTTTTTCAAGCACGTTTAGTAAGTTGGAAGCATTAGACATTGAAGTATGTAGAGGAAATAATAACTATATTTTGAATGACACTTATTTTGAGTGAATTTTAACAGCCAGCATGCTACTCTGTTTCATTGAGGTAGCAAACGCTAACTACTTTAAAGTTTTCTTACCACAGAAAGATTTCTGTATTTTGAAACCAAGTAATTGCCCTGAGACTTACATGCAGCAATAAAGAGAGTGAAACATGTACCTCTTCTCCAATGCAGCTGAGAATCCAGCGGCTCTGCTGCAGAGTTTCATGTCCTCCCTCTTCTGTCTTCATCAGATCATCCACTAGAGGAAGGCATTCTGGGGGATCATCTGGCCAGTGTCATTAGTCTCAGCTGTGGCTCCAGCCTTCTTCCATGATATCCAACAGTTCTCCCTCTACAGCAAACTGGAAACTGGGTGAAGAAAAAAGCAACATGGTCACTGAAGTAGTGCTATTTTTTGATGTCCCAGGTCGTACAAAATAGAAGGGGGAGTTGCTCCTGTCATTCTGTAAAGTAACACTGACACGTACAACAGAAAAACACACACAAAAGAAGAAGCAGTTAATTTTAAGAAGGATTAGCGACTTGAGGCAGCTCAACATGGAGCAGCATGACAAGCTCTGCAAGCTTAAGAAAGGGGGCCTGGGGGTTGGAAATGAGCAAGCAGGAACACAGCTGCTGCTTCTAGCAGGCGCTGCAACTATTTAAGCCGTAACTGCTTGAACAAGTGAGGTGTTACTGCATTTGAAGTTTTCAGGCTACCTTGCGTTTGTGGAGTGCTTTCAGTGCATTGTAAATTTGATAGTCCTGGTGAGTTTTCCAGCATAGACAAATATGTTTGTATTATAGTGTAAGAGTATCCCAATTATTTTTGAATGGCAGTGATTTTTAGGTATTTTAGGTATATTTAGGATATTTAGATATGTTTAGGCATAAATTTATTTCACGTAAGGTTTATCAAATACTCTGAGATGAAAACACAGCTAAATGCTGTAGATTGAAGTAGATGGAGATGGTATAACCAGGTGTGTCGCTGCATATGTTGGAGTTGAAACAGGGAAGCAATTTGTGTGTGATGTGAAATAGTTAACACTAGGCATTCACAGGGTTGAAACTGAATGTAGAACTTCATCATGGGGGACATGATTGGGCCAGTCTGTGCATTTGAGTCTAGTATTTAAACTCTATTGACAGTTTTCCTTGCATGATACCTTTAAAATCTCTTTAATTGTGGGGAGTGGGTAAGTTGATTGAAACCTTTTTTGATCCAGCACAGCAAGTCGGTGTTAGAAGTTGATAAACAGTGAGGCTAAAAAAAATAAAAGCATATATATATTATTTAAAGTTAAAATATTTTTTGTGGGATTTTTTGTTGGTTTTTTTTTGTTTGTTTTTTGTTTTTTTGTTTTTTGTTTTTTTGTTTTTTTTTTTTTGCTGAAGAGGAAAGTGTAACACAATATACATCTAGTTAACAGCTCAAAGTGATTCATTGTGAACTTCTGATATCAGTGTTTAGAAAAATAACGTCATGTTTACCGGAAGTGAACTTTAAAATAATTTTTTCAAAGTTTTACTTTGGACATCACTAATGAATTCTGCGTGCTTTGTTTTCCTGATTAACTACATTTAGAGTGCAGAGGTATCTTTTGTAACAATGCTCTGTCGTAATTAAACAGTACGCTTTTATTTCTGAAAAGAATCTGTGCCTTTCTTCTAAAATACAGCAAACATGAGTCGATTTTTTTTTTTTTTTCTTTACTGGGTTTGTAATTGCATCAGTGTCCAAAGGGATGGAGGACTTTTGTTCAATGCTTTGCTCATTTCAAAGGTTGTAGAGCCCTGTTTTTCACTTGCTGGAGTGTATGTCTGCTCTCCTGGCTGTAGCAGAGAAGCTGGACTCTGAAAAAGATCTTTGCTGGGCTATCAAAAGCATGGAGCACAACTACTGCATCCTGGGAGAGGAGTGTGCTGTGGGTTGTTAGAATGCTGAGATCCATAATTCAAAATGCACAAGGTTAAGAGAGTTGTTAGAGTGGAGAGGGCAGCTAAGGTCTGTGATTGTTCTCTTCTTTCCTGCTATGTGTTTCGAAGGTCTTTGGTCTTTGTCATGTTCTGTGCAAAATGTAATGCTGTTGGTATTTATCTAGTTTAATGGATTGGAACTTTTGGAGTATGTGAAGAAGTTCCTGGAGTATGGCTGTGGCTTCTGAAGGGTCTGATCTAGTAGCAAGTTGTAGCTGAAAAAGAGTTAGTTGAATTGTAATGTGTGTATGTTTCTATACAGTGATACTTCAGAAGTAAAATCTATGGGTACAAACTACTTTTTTGTGTGTGTGCATTAAACTATAAAATTTAACTTTGTATTTGTAATTGCTGGAAACTTGCACCCAAGCAGTTGCACAGACTTGGAATTCATCCCCTGAAGTTCCACATGTAGTGATGTCATAGGCAGTATTTGCCTGCGTGCACTTCGTAGGGCCTTAAGCTGCTGATGGGACGTGAAGTTTGAGAATTGCTGTTTAGGCTTCATCATCCAAGACATTTTGTGAATGTGAGCATTGTCTTCCATTGTCTCTTGCTACTCATCTCTTTATCTTCCCTCTGTACTGCAGTGATGTGTGACAATCATTTTTGGAGCGTGGACGTTTAAGAATTTTGTTACAAGTGATCATGTTAAGTCTCAGCAGGCCATGACTTCACTTGGCAGCTAAACTTTGCACATCTGTTATTTAGGCTCTTGAAACTTGTGATTTTTTGCTTACTGCTTCATGCTGTCATTATCTGTTTGAAATAATGAAGCTTGGAAACATTGTTGATAGTCTACGTTAAGTTTGAGGATGGCTCTAGCTCGTACTTCCAATCTCTGAAAATTGTTTTATGAAACTCCAAAAAAGGTGTCAAAATGTTGGTTTTGTCTTCCGCTGCTTGAAAATATATATTTTTTTCCTTTTGGTTTATCCTCAGAAGGTTAGTAAAATGTATGCTATAGAATTCTAAATAATGTAGTTGTTCAGAGATGAGAAATGGCAAGTTACATCTAAACACCATGTTAGCACCACTACAGTTTTGCATTTCAATATTGCTTTGGCAAATACGGATCCATATGGTCAAAGCCACGGTTTGTCTTGTGATGCCACTGATAACAATGTTTCCTTTGTTAGTGTATATACAGAATTACAACTTGAATTACTTTAGCAGAACAGTGTTCTTTGTCCTGCACCTTGCAGTCTATCTGTTCTCACTGACAGGCATTCATATGGATCACTAATCTGACATGTATTTTTGAAAGCCATATGAGGAAAATGCTTAAATAGAATGACTCTCTGGAATATTCACCAATATTTGACCTGTGTTTGCTATTACAAAATCTTCTTTCTAAATCTGGGGTAAACATGGTCAAAAATTTTCTAAGTGCAGATTTGGGAACTTAATCTCCTTCATACAAATGGAAGTTTGTTGAAGATGGAGCGACTTGGAATGAAAATGTCTGTGTTTTGGCATTTTAGGAGGTTAACGTGAAACTGCTGTTTTTTTTAAATATAATGTATAACATAAATTGAGTATATTAAGTATGTGACTAAAAGATTAACTTGAGAAGACTTCTGTGGTAAAATAATCATAGGATGTTTTTCCAAATGGCATTGTGCCATTGTTCACCTATTTAGATGTTTATGCAGTGGAGCATATGCAATTTATTTCTCTAAGCTATGGTTGTTGGACAGACTGAATTGCAGTATAGCCATGCAGCAGCATCTAGCTTGGCCAAGGACTTTGTACTGTTTTTGTTTTTTTGTTTTTTGTTTTTTTTTTTTCCCAGAAATGACAATAGAATAATTCTGTATCTACCTCTGACTATGTACGTCAGCTCAGAGTGCATGAACTGTATAGTTAGCATGCTAGTCTGCCTTATGAGGCATAAGAGATACGTTTGGTGAATTCCAGGGTCATTCTAATCAGGGCAAAGCTTAAGATTTTATGCGTAGCACAATATTTATTCTCTTAAGTTCAGTTTAAAGCATACATTTCCACATTGAAAAGAGATTCTTTGTAAAATGCAGAATTGAACTAATCATTTTTATTAAGGATATTCATAGGGGTACAGTAAATACTTTAATAGAGAAGTGTAGAATACTGCCTTTGGAATGTTGGCATGTTTGTGTGATTTGTCAGTGGAGTTGGAGGCTATTGGTTACGTCTGAGCAAAATTCCTGAGCATTGTGTAAACAATACAATTTGTAAACTCAATTTGCATTTGCTGTGTTAAGTGAAACATTGCAAGTGATTTTTTTGCTATTCAGAGTTCATTTGGAGTGAAATAACACTTGAAAATCTTCCAGCAGTCCTTTACTGAGAAATCAAGAGCTGAGAATCCATCGTAAGAGCATTCCTTTAAAATAAATATTCTTTAGATATATCTGTTGGATTCAAGTGAAGCCTGAAGCCTGTCCTTCCCTTCTATCTTTACTGCATGCACCAACTCAAGTAGTGTATGGGAAGATTGTGTGTGTCCTTGTGACAGATGTGATGGGCCTGTCTCTGGAAAGAAAGAATTCAAGCTAAAGGAAGGGCCATCCATTCGCATAGGCCAACCAGAGGTGAAAGTGGAAGACTGAAGTCTTCAGTAGAGGGTAATAAACTTGAATTTCGTATTAAAAATCAGGCGCTTCCAAATCATGCCTCAGGGATTCCATTCACCTTTTAGTCACTTCATTAAAATGTCTATAGCTTTTACTTGAGAGCAGATGAAATCAGTAAGCAAGAAAAATGTGTAAATTGTTTTTTTTATTTTAAAAGTCTGTCAAATCTGAATTTGTACACTGGTGTTGTCTAAGGATGAGTTACTAGATAGAATATTTAACTTTGGATTATTACAGCTTTAAAAGTAGAATGTCAGAACTTCTCTGTATAAAAGAAAACATCTTCTGTGTCATCCTGCTGAAAATGCAACGGTCTAATTTTGGCTGTTTCTGTAGGTCATTTGGTGAGGCAAATAAGGCTTGTTAATAAAGATTATGTCAGTCTGTGTTTTGTTGATCCTGACTGAGTATGCAGTGGAGAATGAAGATGCAAATAACATCATTGCTCCTTCCAAATTACTTCATTTTTGTCTCCTTTATATTCTTTTAAAGTGCAGTGCTAGAAGATCAGAAAATTAATTTGATATTTGTCCACAGGTGGAAAATAATTTTGTATAGGTAATGCTTTTGCTACATTTTTTGATAGCAAAACAGATGCTAAGGAAGACTCCTTTCTTATAAGTTCTGGGAATAAGGAAAGTCAGTAATTTATCCCTGTATTGCCTTCAGTTGATGCATGGTGACTGTTGAGTCAGGCTTGAACCGATGATTGAGCACCTGGGGAAGGGAGCCAGTCAGCCCTGTGAGCACAGGTGAAGGCAGTTCAGCTGTGTGACCGGAAGGGGTGGAGCCTGGCTGCACCTCTCACAGGTTTCTCTTAAGGGCTGACTGCCACTGGGGAAGGACCTCTTTCTGGAGATCCCTCTCTTGAAAAGTTTCCCCTGTGAGCCTAGTTCTTCAGGGATGGATAAGCAGTCCTACTTCCCTACTCTTATAATACCTTTCTGTTGCATTAGTCCCTTTGTCATTACACCTCTTGTATCACCATTCCATCGCATTGATCTTTCTGGTTGTTATAGTTCAAAATGGATTCATGTTAATATATATCATGGCTGTTCAACCTTTTGGCTTGCCTGGGCTGCACTGAGTAAAGGGGCTTTGTCTTGGGCCACATATATGGAGGCTGCTCCGAAAGTAGTAGTGCTTTCTATATGCTTTCTGTATGTTTTCATGGAAACTACAACAGATACAAATGAGCACAGTAACTCAGCTTGATAGAGCAAGTTCTTAGCAACGATAAACCTCTTTTTCAGCATAGTCAACACCATTTGCCATGCGTTCTTGCCAGTGATGAACAAGAATCTGCATGTTGAACCTCATCAAAACATGCACAAGGGGAGGTGATCCATGGCCTCTGTCGCCACTGCTGAAACCCACCGGTCGCCGCCTCACTATGTTCACACCATTTGGTTTCTGTAAATATTCAGCAAGCATAGATGAATGCTAATGGGTGCAAACTTTTCCACAAGGAGTAATTCAGTGAGACACCTTTTCTTCATTCACACTTCTGTGGCGGACACCATTTTGTCACCTCTGCCACCATCTTTCACACAGTAGCAATATGTAACAAGTATTGGTGGCAAGGTTCAGTCCCCACTGCCATACCATCATCATCATATAGTAGCAGGCATTACTTTTGGAGCAGCCTCTGTAAAATATATACTACGGTTAATGTATGTAAGTAACAAAACTTATTTTAACTTAAAATATTTTTAGTAAAAGGTTAAAAAAAATTAACAAAGATAAAGCTAGTGGGATATTTTATCCTTTTTTTGTGATATTAATGCATCAGTCTGGTTCTTTGAAAGCAGTGATTGCAACTCTGTGATGGAGTCTCAAGGGTTTCATCAGAGATTTTTGATGAAATTTTACTCTTCTTGTACTTCATTCTTGACAATAATTGTTCACGAATGTGCGTACTGACAGAAAGCACTGACATGAACAGGGTGGGATTGTGAGGCAAGGGATCTTTCACTGGGAGAGAGGTCTTACAGAAGTCTAGTAGAGTGACCTAATTGTGTTTTGGAATTGAACATCTGATTGTACCTCTACACATTACATTTGAAAATTTGCAGGTAATTTATGTCCACTGCAAGTGGAGTCACAAATATAAACTGGATTTTTGAGCCGTTTTGAAACCTCCTCTTAAATTCCTTTATCTGAATGGAAAGCACAGCTGCGTATTTTCCTTTGTTCACAGATTGTTGTTTAGCCTGTATCAAAACGCCTGCAGTTATTTGCCATAACTTGAGCTGGCGCTGCGCTGTGCCCCCCCATTGCTCTGGTTAACTGGCTGACAACGCACCCATGTTTGGTTGTTGGGTGTGCTTCTGGGTTGGGCAGCTGAGCCACTGCTGTGATGGCGCGGTGCAGGGGGCGGCCATGGTGTGAGCTGTGCCAGGTGCTGTACAGGCTGTGAGTTGGACAGGCCGCATTCAGCCTTTCCTACAGGAAATAATTGAGGCATGAAAGAGCAGTTCCATAGGAAACTGACAGCTTTGTAAGGAACTAAACTGAATTACAGGTTTATATGCTATTCTTGCACTGGAGCTATTTGAGGTAAAAGGTTTTTTTTTTTTAATGAAGGAATTTATTAGTATGAAGTTACTTCCTGAATTATTACTGATGTATTTTTATATACTTTTTTTCTTGTGGAGTGTAGTCTGTGGTGTCATGGCTTACTAATGTGTCACATAACATCTTGATAAGAATTGAAATGCTCACGTAATGTGGAATGAATGCTGTTAACGATGTTTGGCTGTTCCTTTTGAAATTTTTCTGTGAGTGGTGGGTTGGAATTAAGTAGTAATGTGCTTTATATTGCAAAACTGATTTCTTGCAAAAGAAGTTCAATTACTATTTTAAAGAATTATGACTTGTTAATTTTGTTTTTATATGCTGTAGGATATGTTTTGGAGTTGCAGACAAAGTACCCTTGCTGAAATGAAGAAGAAATTTTCACAGGTAGACAGATGAAATCAACTTTATAAAATTGAAATCCACAGTAACAGCATGATGCTGTAGCTTTGATTTCGTAACTTGAGCATGAGCTTTTGAATTTTTATGCATGTTCTTGAATACCAAGATTGTGTGCATTAGTCTTTTTCAGTTCAAAGCTTCTGCTGTTATGTTTATATGCCTTTACATGAGTGTGTTTCTGTAGCCCTCTAGTTTTTCATCAAAAACAGTAACCGTATAGCTGTCTCATGTGCCAAATTATGTAGCAATTGAAATTAGATTTTGTGTTTACTCTGAGGGCTTGGTTTGCTAAGTCTGTCAAAATAGCCTAAAGGTTGATCTCTGGCTAATATTGCCTTTTATGGTGTTTTTTTTTTTGTGTGAAGTAGCCACAAACAAGGTGGTGTTGTTTGGTAGTTCAGATAGCATGTGTTAACGCAAGGCGTGAACAAAATTGGATCAAGATGATTTTTGCTTCATCTGTTTACTGTGAACATGAAACAGTGAAAACTCGAATAATGGCTTAATACCTTTTGCTATACTATACTTGAGTTAAACTATTTCAGTCTGTTAGAATTACGTCTGTGAATGAGCAGTGTCTGGTGTGGAACATCTAGCACAAACAAGTCTTCTGTAATCTTCAGTAAATTGTTCTCAATTTTATTTCCTGTACGTACTTCTCCATCAGATAATGCATATCAGTAGTAACTCCAATATTAGTCATTACTAATTTATAAGCAAAAGCAGGGGAGAAAGTTTTGAGTTGGAAGAGTTGAATTTATAGTGCTGTCTTCCACAAAGGAAAGGAGAGCTTTGGTGTTGGATATGTAAAAGCATTATGACAAAAACTAACTGGGTCTCAAATTGCTTCTATTCCTAGCACAGTCATGCTTCATGTAAGTAGCAGTTGTAGCTGCTGTTGTTGCAGCACAAAATTACAGTGGGAATTCTTGAAACTAGGGTTAATTCTTTCTAGGGCATGTATGGGTAGTACTGGGTGCCTCTAACCTACCTTGTGCTATGGAGGAGGTGGGCTTAATCCCAGAGCAGGCCCCTGCTGCTGTGGGGAACCCAAGCCCTAAGAGTAGGATGATCCTGTGAGTCCACTGGTCCTTGTCTGCTGCTTGTGTTCTGCAGAAGAATCAAGGAGGTGGATCACTGCACCAGACCATAGACTTCTCTTTCATAACCAGAAAATGAAAGAGTCAAATTGTATGCTGATTATTTGATTGGAGAAAAAAAAAAAGTCAGTGCTGAAAAATATAATGGAAATAACTCATCCTGAGAAGCAATCACTGGTGAAATTTGATTTTAGTCTCCGTGTGTTCAAGTTGTTTATGACTCTTGAAGTGTTTTCTTTTTAATGTGTAGTTAATGTTTCAGGGGTAGTTTTGTGTGCCTTCTCAGAAGTTAGTTCATAAACCTCTCTTTCTCCAGTAGAGATGAAATGTGTGAAGATGAGATGTGGCAGACTAGCTGGAAGTGGTGACTTGCGTATTTTTGAGCAAGTAGTTAATGTTCTTTGTTGAAATCTTCAGTGGAGTTGATAAACCTAGGGAAATTGGGCTTCAAATTCTTAAGAAAAATCAGTCTGTAGGAAACATAACGTATTGCAGATTTGTAAATAGCTGTTTTTTGCCCTTCTCTGTTATTTCTCATTCATTTCTACTATCTACTCAATGGAAGTAGATGCTGCAGTTACCTAATGTTTTTGTTTTGAGTTGCATGGAGACTGCCACCTGATCTTGTCGTTTTGGCAAATAAAGAGATGAACTAAAATGTTTATTCCTTTTTAAGGTGTTTTGTGTTTAGGACCTCTCATGAGGAACTTACAGCACTTTGGCCTTCTGTGTGATGAGGTAGCTCATGTAGAAATACAAGGGATGTTCAAGTTTGTTTACTTCTTTATGGTTCTCTATTCTGTGCATATCTGTGACGTGGCTGACAGCTTTAGCATGAGCACAGTTCTTGCTGTTTGCTAATGTTTTATCCACTGAAAATGGTGATGGAACTGCATGCATCTATTTGCCTCTTTTGATGATGTGCTTTGCCCTGGAGTGACATTTGGGTGATCTGATATGCATCACTAATGCTTTGTGTTACAAGCTGAAAAGACTGAGGCATTGGGGACTAATTATTCCTTTTACTGACCTCGCCTTTCCTATATTTATGTATTGGTTATTCTCTGTTCTATCTTTTGGATAACTGAGAGAGTTGATTGTATTTCCTTAGATCTTTGCTTTCCTGGTTTTTCAGTGTTGGAAAGCATAGGGGAAATACCATTTTCTTGAATTTTCTGGTTCTATAACATTTTACTTCTATTTCATTGCCTTTTTCACTTTGCTAATTTCAAGTATATTTAAGTTGCTGTTTTAAATATTTTTGTCATGATATGTGAACTTCCTAGTAGTCTAGCCAATGTTCATTTTTTTAATCAGAAGAATTTCTCCTACAACTCACCCAGCTGTGGATTTGGTAGAAGGAAGTTGGTTGTGGTTCGATTAAGAGAATTATTTGTTTTATTGGATGGCTTCCAAGTTGATTGGGAAGCTTGGAGATCTGGTTTATGTTCCTAGAAATCACAAAAGGAGTACTTCTATCTCAGCAGTATGTACGAAAGCAGATGTAAAAGAAGGAAAGGATCCTTAAATCATAAAATAAATTTACCACGTTTGGTGAAATCTTGATTTATTTTTTTTTTTTTTTTCCAATTGAACTCCAAGATGGTTCTTAGCTTTACTCGTAGACATGTTGCCTGCTGTCGTTTTAGGTGGAAAGTGCTGCTGAGGAGCCCAGAGTGCTGTGTATAATACAAGATACCACAAATTCGAAGACAGTGAATGAACGCGTTACCTTGAATGTGCCAGCTTCCACACCACTTAAAAAGCTGTTTGAAGACGTTGCTTCAAAAGTGGGATATGTGAATGGAACCTTTGATTTAGTGTGGGGAAATGGAGACAATGTAACTGATATGGTATGGCAAAAATACTTCTAATTTCCTGTTGATAGCGAATATTCAGGACTCATCATTATAGAGTAGTGCTATCCGTATCACAGTGACTATGAAATAGTAATTTTTTTTAAGTTAATCACTGTAAAAATTAGTAATAGATGCACCAGACAGGCTGACACCAGTATTTTGATTTGGCAGGACGTTACTGTATTCTGTCTATATTTTAATCTCAAGCTGTGTTCTTAATTGATATAGGAATTTAATCATTAAGAAATAATACCGTGTAGTAGCTTTCTGTGTTTCTTCTGATACTTGTTTGAATGTATAATACAAAAAAACCCCTAACATTATTTCTATGACTTGCTGTAAATTGGTGTTGGTTTTAGTTAATACTACTCTTTGAGATGTGCTTAGAAGACTTTATAAAATTCCTTGAGAAATAGACATAAGCATATTTCAATACACGTTTATGCTTGCTGAACTACATTTTTTTCTTCTAGAAAACAAAACTGTGTGCAGGCTATGTAGGGGTTTTGATGGTTTGATATTCTACAGGAAATTTGTAGACCAATGTCTTTGTCTCCTGAAGAGACCGCCCAACTTCTAAGTATTAAACTGTGTTATAACACTTAGTATTGTTAGTGGGACAGTTTATCGAGCTCTTTCAGTGTTAATGATGAATTAAGTTTTGTTTATACTGGGTAATTGTTATTTATTTTCATTTCATCTTAGTGTGCCAGAAGCTACTTCAAGCAGTGTACTTGGACAAAATCTATTAATTGCGTATAAATCTGTTTAAAAAAATAAAGCGCTTTATTTTTTTAACAGACTCCAATAGATCAGAACAGTGACAAAAGTATTCTTGATGCTGGTTTTGAGCCAGGGAAGAAGAACTTTCTGCATTTGACAGATAAAGATGGTGAGCAACCTCATATAATGCAGGTTAGTAAATTCTTAAGGCTTAGTGTTGGGTGGGTATGTTGTGTGCATTGCTCATATAATATTGTTAGAAAATAAAATTGGGATATGTATTTCATATAAACTATACCTCAGGAGACTTCTCAACAGACTTTTAGACTATGCAACACTCCTAGGTTTATCTTGAATTTCCATTAGTAGTGATGAGCAGTGACTTTTTATTCATGCTTGTCAAGCATTAATGTTTTCGTGTGATTAACTTCTTAAGATCGTATGATTGATCTATGATACGTTTCGAGAGAAGTCTTAACAATCCATTGTTGTTAATCCCAATCTTAACAATTCCATCATATACTTTATTCTTTTCCTATGATTGTTTGAAAGCAGTGTTAGGCTACTGACGATTCTCAGAAGTTGTAGTCTGGCATCAACAGCAGAGTTAGCTGTTTTCAATTCTGTAATTTATAAAAAGAACTTGATTGGTCAGCGTTGCTACAAACAATTGTCTGCCATAACAAAATATTTGAAATTTGCTGTTGCTCAAAGATATGATGCATTGAAAGATAAACAGTCGTGGTTTGTTTAAATCGTGGATCAGAAAGGCATTGATGTATTAAGATTTGTTACTCAGTTCTTATGTCAACATAAAGCCTACTTAGCCTTTGTAGGCTTGATTATCTGAAAAGGAAAGAAAAGATTAAATATGTGTGAGTCAGAATTGGAGTGTAATTGTGAAAGAATATTGAATTGTACTTTTTTCATTTTGAAAAGTGAAAATCTTGTTGTGGACGTCAGTGCAGTAAACTTGAGAAACAGGAGATAATAAATTGCAAACTTGCTTTGTGGTATGCATTGGAGTACTGTATTTGATCATGTATAGTATTGCAAAGGCTATTTACATCCACTAATGCAAAGAATGCTTTCTCAATGCACCTCAGAGGGCAGAGCGTAAGTTACGTTAGGAATTGTAGATCTTCTCTATGGTGTTAATTAAAAAATGACATACTAAGATTTTTTTTTAGCTGTGAGAGAAATAATTTGTTTAATTTCTGCATAAAATGTGTTTATGTTTTAGGAGGAGTCAGGTGCAACAGAAGACAGTGCCCAGGACAGATTTATAGGTCCTCTTCCAAGAGAAGGCTCTATTAGCTGTACCAGTGACTATGTCAGTCAAAGCTACTCTTACTCTTCAGTCCTGAGCAAGTCGGAGACAGGTATAGTGTTCTCTCTTGTAAATGCTTTGCTGATTTCTGAGTATCATACTTTGAAAGAGCAGCATCTTCAGGATTTTTGAAATAAATTCTACTTTACTAAAAAAAGAAATCACAAAACAAGCCCCCTAAAAAACACTGTGCTCAAATACATTTTGTATTACATTTTTTAGGCTATTCTCATATTTTATGAACAGAAGAGCTGTATCTCAGCTTCTACTTGTGACAATGCAATTCTAATTGCCAGGGATCCTTCTCATTTCACTATTAATCTACTACTTGGCTGACTAGTTATGATTACGTTACTGAAAAGTATTCATCCCAAGAAAGCTATGTGTTTTCATTTGCAGCTTATTGAGTACTTGATATTTTTCAGACAGCCTGCTCTCAAACTTTTGCATTTCAGTTAACTAAAATGTTTGTCTTGTAAGCCCTCCAGTTCTGGTTTCTTTGCTTCTGCTGTGATTCCCCAAGAGAAGCATTACTCCCCTGCGTGGCACGTCAGCAGTGAGCAGACTCCCTCTTGGAAAGGGAAGCGCAGCTTGGTGCCAGGGAAGATGCTGTGAGGCTGGGCAGGCCCCTTTGCAGCACGGAGAGGGCAGGCTAAGGCACCTGTGCCCAGCTGACAGGTTCTGCCACCTCCCACAACCTGTGCATCACAGCCTTTTGCTCTGTTTGCTTCCTAGCTCTGTTGGCTCATAAAAAATGTTCAAGCAATTGTCAGAAGAGAGAGAAAAACAAGAACTGGCTGGAATTTTTCTCAGTGTTTTTATAGTCATAGCTTTGTCATGCTAACAAGCTATGTGCTGTGTCTGAAGATTGATAGGTGCTAAATTCTTACAGGCATGAAATACGTGATTGGAATGTCCTTGTTGTGTTTCATACTAGCCTAGATTTTTACTTTATGTTCTTATCAATCTTCTCTACAACTGCTCAGCCTTAATTGGGTTTTTCATAGAAACAGCAGAATGGCTGAGGTGGAAGGCACCTCTGCAGGTCATCTGGTTCAACCCCCTGCTTAAGGCAGGTGTTTTTAATCCTTAGGTGTGGAGCTGTTAATCTGAGTTCTGCAACATACATGGTTGTTTTTGTTTTTTTACTTTTGTATGTGCTACAATGTGTCCACGAAGTTACAGCTCACTAGTGAGACCAAGTTCTAATAATATTATTTGTGAGCAGACACAAAGACAGCATTATATTACACCCGTTCTTGTCTGTTCAGGATTTTTTTTCAAACGAGAATGTTTATCTGCCACATTTTTTCCATGTAATAAAACTAAAATGGTGAGTTGTGTAAAGGAATAAAATAGATGTTGCCCAAGTTAGCATCTTCACAGAATGTGTTGGTATGGAGTATCTGCCTTTTTGTTGCTAACATGGAATTGAGATGTATTTAATACTGTTACTAAGAGCTTCAGGTTATAAGTAAGAACATTTCTTTATTACATTATGCTTCGGTATATGCTTTTTACTTATCAGCTATTAATGTTACACACTTCGGAAAAAATGCTAATGACAATAATATAAATTTCTTTTCAACTAATAATTGTGCTGGAATTTGGTAGCTGTTTTAGTTAGTGTGGAAAATTATTTTGAAAGATGTATCTACATGGGCACTACGTAGGTCTTTGATTTATAGATCAGAGAATTTAATGCAATCCACTGCAGACAAAATTTAATTACAACTAGGATATTCTTTAGTTGACGTATAGGCAATAAGCAAGCTGCTATACAAAATGTTTATTAACAAATTCTAGAGTTTTCTATAAAATATTCAACTTTTAATGTATTTCTAGTTTTACCTATGTCTGTTGGTGGAGTAGACAACATTAAATGTTGCTAGTCATTTTGATACATGATTCATGATGACTGAAATAGCTTTGTGAAATTCAGGGAAATGATCTCTGTTGTGTAAACAGTCTCTTTAATGCTGTCTTTGAAATAAGTAATTGCAATATTCCCCCACTTTTTGTAGTGCAGATGAGAACAAATGACAGCAGCTGGATGCAATTCTTAGTGAATATAATGCTAGAGTTGATTTCTTTTAAAATGTATTTTAATTCCTAGTGATTTGCCATCTTTTTACATTATTTCCGTCTCCTTTGTATTTTTAGGTTACGTGGGTCTGGTAAACCAAGCAATGACTTGCTATCTGAACAGCCTTTTACAAACACTTTTCATGACTCCTGAATTTAGAAATGCATTATATAAGTGAGTATATATGATTCAGACAGATTATTAAAATTATTATAGTAAGTCTGTCACATTTGTTCTGGTATCTTGTGGTAGGAAACCCTTTTGAATGTCTCCTGTTAAAATTTTGTCTTTTGGATATTGAAATGCATCTGAACTTTAATAGCAAACCCTGATTCTTTAGTGGGTAGAGTGATGTAGATAGACAAAGAATAGAACACATAAAGGGAATGGGGAAATTTTCTGGGGAAGGGGGGAAGATTTCATACTTCAAATCAAACCTGATAGTCTAGTGCAACTTCTCTGCTTAGCACCTTCTGATGTCACTGCTGTCCTCAGGTGTGGCATACACAAGCTTTTAAAACAATATGCTGCATCTAGAAAACAGAAAGCTTCATATGAAGTCATAGGTGCTGCTCGTGTCTGTATTTGTATAGTAAACGGTTTCAAAATTATTTCATTAGTGTGTTTTAGATTTATACGCTTAAAGAAAGAGTCATCTTATGTTGCAGAAATGGAAAGTGGTTTTGTTGAAGGAGAATTATTTTTTGCTTTCATTGAGAAACAGAGCTTCACGTGACCTGACTAAACTGACAGACCTCTTGAAATACTGCTTTGTCTTTTTGAATAATATTTTAACAATATTTTTAATTGTCAAATACTTTGCTGTGAATAGATGGGAATTTGAGGAATCTGAAGAGGATCCTGTGACAAGTATCCCCTACCAGCTTCAAAGGCTGTTTGTTTTACTGCAGACCAGCAAGAAAAGAGCAATTGAAACAACAGATGTTACACGGAGTTTTGGATGGGATAGTAGTGAGGGTAATTGCAGCTATTAAGTTTGTGTGATTTACTTTAGCTGTTTCCGCTGATCGCGTTCACTGATGTTGGAGAAAAATACCTAAATAATTAAAATTAATGATTAGAATCCACTTCCATTTTATGGAAGCAAAATAGCTTTAGTTGATATTTGGTTGTAGTGTTGTTTTTTTTTTCTAAAGAAATAACATCTGAGTGTTTTAGGCTGTTAAAGAGAAGATTAGTTTTGTAATTAAGGTATCATTCCAGTTCTTAATTGATTTAAACAAGTTGCTCTTAGAAGAAAATTGCATCTATTTTGAATTACTGATGTCAAATGCATGCATTTCAGTTAAGATGAAAATTATGAATTCCATAGAATCAAATAATACTATGAAACTTATCTAGTACAATTTTTCTCCATAATCAGCTGATTTTTCCACAGAGAAATTACACAATACACGTCCTTACATGTAATGGAAGGGTGAATGGGGTGGAGAACAACACCTTTTAGAGTTCTGAGGGATCAGCATGAAATGGGGTTTAATCAGAACCATTTATATTCTGTCTTAAAATAGTGCATATTAGCACTTCTGTGTACATAGCTAGTTTTGTTAATATACAGAGTTCATGTTTATATGCAAATACTGTGAGCAAATTGGTTGCTTGTTTTGCTGACTTGAGAATTAACTGCCTGTGGGATTGAGCGCTGCCCCAACAGAGATTAGTGTAGTAAATGTGAAAGAGACTTGAAAACAAATTGATTGATAGCTTTAGGAAGCATTCTCATATTGGGTAGATAACTTCTTAATTATTTTCAATTTCTAACAGCATGGCAGCAACATGACGTACAGGAGCTTTGTAGAGTTATGTTTGATGCTCTGGAGCAAAAATGGAAGCAAACAGAACAGGTAATTGTATCAATACTGTTCCAGTAATTCAGGGTGTGGTGTTTTCTGTGTTTGTTTTTACACATCCTTGTAAAAAAAAAAAAGCTGATTTTTAAATACAAAATTATTGGCAGACTTCAGAAGTTGCCAATTTTCTCATATGCTATTATTATTTCTTATTGGAGCTACACTACATTTCAGAATGTTGATTTTTTTTTTCCTCCAGTTAAAAGTGAAATATTCTGGATTTTGGATATTCCTTATTTGAGGTACAGGAAGTGGTTATGTAACTACTTCAGTCATAACTTTCTCACCAGTGGTATTTTTTAGGTTACTTAGTGAGTTCTTGTAGCTCAAGCTGCAAAGCTTATGTAATGTGGTTTGAGAAGCTGTTTTGAGGCACGTTCTCTGCAATGGTAGATCAGGGGAAAACAAGAGTCGGGTGTCCTGCTGGAAAATGACAATGCTAACTGCAACTATTGCAGTTAATTTAGAAATATACTTTCTTGTAAAATCGAAGAGGAAATATTCTTTTACTTATGTTTAAAGCAGTGTTAAATATCTCTATTTCAGGCCGATCTTATAAATCAGCTGTATCAAGGCAAACTGAAAGACTATGTACGATGTCTAGAATGTGGCTATGAAGGCTGGAGAATCGACACATACCTGGATATTCCTTTGGTCATCCGTCCATATGGCTCCAACCAGGCATTTGCTAGCGTGGTGTGTACTATTATGCTGCCTAATAGTGCATCCATACACATAGAATACATAATGCGACAGTGGTATAATTTGTTACATGGTAAGTATCATCCTAGATACTCCATCTTGGGGTGTTCGTCTTTGTGCAGTGAACCAGCTAGCAAGTTCTAGAAGATTTTTTTTTTGGCTTATTGGTTTATTTTTTTGTTTTGTTTTTTTTTACCCTTCAATGAGTCCTACTGGTGCATGTATATAAGGGGAGGGGAAATGCAACCTTATTGCCTTCAGGCTGAAGTAATCAGTTATTTTCTTCCTGATTTTCAGCACTTACCCAAAATATTTTTTGAGATTGTTAAGTTTTCTTTGGGCTGTTCTCTTTATTGGCACATCTGCTAAATTTTCATAGCTTTGTTGAAAATCTTAGTAAAAGAACAGAAGATGAACTGAATTTTTAGCTTAATTGCAATGTTGTTGCTATGCTTACTGAAGTTCACTTCTGAAATAAGTGATGACATTGGCAACATTTATATTAGTATATTTGTGGAAACTTTGCTGTTTTTTTCACTGTTCCGTGAAAATAAGTCATTACAAATGGAAATCCACTGTTCTAGCTTAAAATGTCTGTAATATGGATGAAGTTGTGAGAAAGGAAGAATAAATTCAAGTCTTTGGGTAAAGGTTGATTTAAACAATCACATGTTGCATAATTGGCTTACCAGTGTTACATATTATATTTCAAGTATTCTTACCTTTTGTCTTTAGCATGTTGGCATTTTTTAAAGCACTAGTATTTTGTAGTTCTTAACAGCATTCTGTTAAGAACTGTCAGAATCAGGTTAAACTGCTATGTAAGCTCAAGCTGCTCTGTATTTCAAATATCAGTCTTAAGAAGCAGTAAAGATATGAAGGACATTGATCTCACAAAAAGAATTCAATTCAGTAAGATCTTTTGAATTCTTTTTTATAGTACTTTAAACTTCTCAGAAACATCCAGCTTTTTAAAGCTGTGTTTTGAGCTGCAGTTCCAGTGATAGTGATGTTTTATATAGATTGGATCATTTTTCACCTTTTAACACATTTCTGGAAATATTCCATAAAGCATGATTCTTTAATTTCTATTATTTGATTATGAAATTTTTCAGTTCCATTAATGAAAGCTTTACTCCATAATTGCATTCTGCATTTAGCAATACGTTGTATATGTGTCTCCAATTAAAATTAGGTCCCTCAGCAGAAAAAGTCTACAGCAGGATGCTTTTTAAAAAAGACACATTATTTGTCTACTTCTAAAAATGCAGGAAGCTTGAACAAAAAAGGACTTAAATATCAGATTACTTTCAGTAGTATTCAATCAGCCATTATTGGATTTTCTGTACTCCAAGAAAAATAGTTTTAAAGAATTGTTACAGAGTTACATGGTTGCAATTTGTATTGATGCTTCAGTTTTTGAGCTTTTTTTTTTTAAATTCCTACTCTGATTATATTGATTCTCCTCCCTGCACTTGTCTTACTTATAGCAGATGTGATTTTTAGTTTTGTAGTCTTCAGCAGTGGGGAGATATGGAGGATACTTGCTTTTGGAGAAGGGAAAAATCGCCTGTTTCTAAATGGAATTCTCTGAAGGTAGTATCCTCCATTGATCCATAGATGATGGTGATTTAGTAGGTGTAGGTAAAAGGATATAAGTGAGAAATCAAAAACTTCACACATGCGCTAATAGGGCTTATAGAAGGGAATGTAAAACTTCTTAGACCTTGCTAGTCAGCTCCTGAGGGAACTTGCAGCAGGCGACACAACCCAAGATAGGGGATCTAAGGAGGATACTACCTTCAAAGAACTCTAGTTAGAGGTAAGTGATTTTCCATTACTTTCTAATAAGAGAGAATGGATGTACAAGCTTAAAGTAAGGTTAATCTGTAGAAATGCCACATGAAGTGTATTATCCCACTGTTCGACATTGTGTACTACCAAAAAATGAAGCTGCTTGAAATGTTGTGTTCATCTGTAAATATATGTTACTACTTAAATGAGAACACTGAAGAACTTATTGGAAGGATATTAGATTTTTTTTTTATTACCTAAATGAAATAATTTTAAAAACATTTGTCTTTAAGGTCTGCATTTTGAGTTTTTTTTTCTGATTCTCTATTCCCAAGTTCATGTCTCATACTACAGTAGCAAAGCTGTAACCTCATTTGGGCACTGAGGTCTTGTCAGTACCTATCTCAAGATTGTTCTTTTTCAGTAACTATCTGCATGGTATAAAAAACCAGAACTGATCTCTTTGACATCAATGGAGATAACAGACAAAATATATAGTTTCTTATTCTAAGTAGGTAAACAAGGGCAACAATTAACACAATTGATTTTGTGGAAAATTGTATGCCTGAATTTGACAGCATTAGTAGACTGAATCTAAAAAAAATTTTTTTTTTTTTTTACTCTAAGCCATAAAAATTTTGCAGATGAAAAATATCTGAGAGAGGAGTGGATTCAGTGAGGATCTAGCTGATGTGCTGAAATTGTTACTAGAAAGCAGTGGAAATTCATGAAATCACAGAATTCCAATGAGTGTTAAAGACACTCAATTCCAATCTCCCTGTTATGGGCAGGGTTCCTACCCTAGACCCAGCTGCCCAGGGCTCTGTTCAACCTGACCTTGAGCAACTCCAAGGATGGGGCATCCATAACTTATCTGGGCAAAAATGGTTTGATAACTAGCATTGATAACAGCATTCTGGAGATATGGCAAATACAGTTGTAAATGTTTTTAGGGATCATTATCTTTTGTAACTTTTCTACTGAAGGTTTAAGTATAAGTGCTAGAAGATTTTTTTTTTTTTTTTGAGCAGAGATGAGTTAGAACTACTTTTCTGTGAACTTACTTTGTATGTGGTGTCATGGCCAAACTAAAACTATGAAAGAAAATAAGAATATGGATGATGTGATATTTACTTTTGTTTAATGTCTTAGAAATCTAAGCTAGGTTGGTAAGGTCTTTTATTTTTAGTTGAGTTTATTGGATGTGAAAAAACTACACGAGCTCTAAAAATCTGAGGTGGAAATTAGTAGCTTTTTCTAATAAGCTTTGCTTAATTGTTAGTCATTATGCATCTTCTCATAAAGATTCTACTGCTTCTGTTCACAGATATTAAATAAATGCAAGCAGTATTGTACATTCGTATCAAACTACTAACTACATGATGATGCATTTCTGTGTAGAAAACTGAATTCTAAATACCTATCTTTAGCCACACAAAAATTAATTTGAACTGTTTGTTATGGCATTTTACTATGCTGGAAGTTAAATCTTTAACTGGAGGTAGTCCAGACATTCCTTCCAACCTGTGCTCTCTTGATTCAGTGAAGTACACAAAAAATGAAATAGCCTTTTTTCATACAGATCTATTACTTCATCTCTTGTGGTATCTTTTGAAGTGTATGGATTGGGAATGTTAGAAATGTTTCGTAGTTCTGAGACTTCCTAAGGGTTACCTCTTCAAAGGTAACAGTTACAAAATTGGCAGGCAGGAGGTATTGTGGACTGCACAACGTAGAATTTTTTCACTAGTTTTTTGTAATGACTATTACTAAAAAGACTATTTGCAAATGTATTAATAAATGTCCTAATAGTCAAAACTGATTTTGCTTTAAAGATTACATTGTAGAAAATTGGAAGAGATATAAATGAATAATCTTGAGGAACAGCAATGTTAATCATATAACATTTGAAAAATAGGTGGATACTTGTATGGGGAGCTTTAATATTAAAGCACAGCTCACAATATATGTGATAAACTGTGAAACCTCTAAGTCACATAGTGACAGTTAATTCAGTTTTCAAAAATCTGAATTTGTTATTCATATTTTCTGATTTCAGTGATTCATGTAACTTGTTTGTGTTTGTAACTTTATGATAAAGTTATTCATACCTACATTGTAAAAGTTCTTCAAAAATCAGGTAACCTCTTTTTATTATTAGGAAGAAGCATTGCATGCTTTCATTCAGCCTGAGATTCTTGATGGCCCCAATCAATATTTTTGTGAGCGATGTAAGAAGAAATGTGATGCAAGGAAGGTAAGCACTGTCCAGATCATTTGTGAAAATTACTTTTGCTAAAGATTAGTCTTAACAATGGTAGCATAACCTTCTTTGCTTTGTTTAGGGCCTGCGGTTCTTGCATTTTCCGTATCTGTTGACGTTACAACTGAAGAGATTTGACTTTGATTATACCACTATGCACAGAATTAAACTGAACGATCGTATGACTTTTCCTGAGGAGTTAGACATGAGTATCTTCATTGATGTTGAAGATGAGGTAAAGATTTTTGTTTTAGAGAAAAGTAGTCTTCAGTTCTCTTGAAGTTTCTCGTTAAGGAAGTTCAAGGGTTGACTTACTAAAGCCATTTTAGCTGTCATCTACGTAAAATTTTCTTTAGCCGTGGCAATGTATTAATCAGAATTTTTCATATCTGACAGAAGATTTTCCTTATTTTGTAATGGGAGAATGTTCTCTAGTTCCTGCTAGGTTTTCTGTGCTTCCATAAAGAAGCATGTTTCTGGTTTATCCTATTAGGCCCAGCACTGCCAGCCAGTTGTGTGGGGAAATTATCCCACTTTCCTCCACACTGTTGCAGCCTCACCTCAAGTACTGTGTGCGTTTTTGAGTTCCACAGTATAAAAAAAACCCCACAAAACTAGTAGAGAGCATCCAAAGGAAGTTAACAAAGATGATGGAGGATCTAGAGACCAAGACATATGAGAAGCTGATTGAGGTCCCTTCGTTTGCTTAGAGAAGCCCAGATAAATGGAGGCTGAGGGGTAGGCCTCATGGTGGCCTAAAGCTCCTCTCAGGGAGTGGAGGGGCAGCTCTGAGCTCTGCTCTCTGGTGACAGCAATAAGACCCAAGGGAATGGCATGGAGATGCATTGGGGAGGGTCAGTCTGGGTGTTTAGAAAAGACCTTTGATCAGAAAGTGATCAGGCACTGAAACAGGTACCCATGGCTGTGGGCATGGCACTTTACTGCCAGAGTTCAAGAAGTGTTTGGACAGTGCTCTAAGATGTCTGGGTTTTGGATGGTCCTGTGTGGAGTCGAGGGTTGGACTCAATGATCCTTGTCCATCCCTTTCAACTGTGATATTCTATGATATCTTAATGAGTGATTTAAAAATAAGTCTCAAATCTTTACTCTACAAATCCAGAGTGAAATGTTATGTAAGGTGTGAATCTGTTTGGCTTACAAGAGCTAGCATAAAGTTTTGAAACAGAATACTGGAAGATAGTCCAGAAAACATGAATTAATTTCTTCCCTCTGGGGAGAAAAAAATTTACTTCTGTTTTCCTCTAGTTTGGGCCAAAATTTGTCTTGTGCAGTTAGGTTCACCAAGAAGTATTTAGCATGCCTGACAATGAAAACATTGTCACTTTATAGACACTAAAAGGATGCTATCATTTACCCAGGAGTGGACTCCTGTTTGTCATATAAGAGAAATACTGTGTTGGTGTGCAAATGAAAATATTTTGTCTTTGTTTAAAAACAAACAAAAAACCCACCACCAACAAAAAACCTTGCAGTTTACAAGTTTTACCATGTAAACAATTCCATACCTCTCAGAATGTTAACAGGGAACCAGATGAGGATGATTGATTTGGGAGAACTGGCAACTGTTATCAACTGTTAGAAAATCAAATGAATTTTCCAGAATAAAGACAGTCAGGAAATAGCATTTCCTATATTTAATCAATTTGTACTTAATGAACTGCATTTGTATTGTGGGTGACACCTTGCTTGTAAGTTATTAGAAGAGTAATAAGTCTTCTACTGAACTCTGTCCATTGAGTTGGGATGGGAAACATTTGACTGTGAATGAAAATACATCTGGTTCATCACCATCTAATTAACGTTGGCATGTTATAACAGCATTTTCTCTTCTGCTATTAGACTTTAAAGTATTTGAATAAACTTCGTGAATGGAATAGGCTAGTAACTGATGTAAGCTTGCCAAGTAATTACCATTTAGATACATGCAAAACCTGAAAGAAAGTACTGATCTAAAAGGAAGACTAAATACACTCTGACAGAAATAAATCAGTTCTTTGCATTGATTTGCAGATGACTGTAGTGTTTAGTTTTTTCATTATTTTACAGATTTTAATTTGTAATTCTCCAATGTCGTGATGTCTTGTTCCATGTGACTTCAAATGTTGTATAATATTAATGTTTATTTTTAAGAAGTCTCCTCAGACTGAGAGTTGCACTGATAGTGGAGCAGAAAATGAAGGCAGTTGTCACAGTGACCAGATGAGCAATGATTTTTCTAATGATGATGGAGTTGATGAAGGAATCTGCCTCGAAAGCAACAGCGCAGCAGAAAGAATTGCTAAAGTTGGCAGTGAAAAAGTATGTTTCGAAATGTACTGAATCTGGTTGGTATGGATTTGACTTGTTTTGCAGGAACCTATATGATGCTCAGTTTTGGATTTGTGATAAAACAGTGTTGATACCACACCAGTGTTTTAGCTGATGAGAGGTAGCAAGTGATTGCCTTTGTGTCACTTCTGTCTTCTTTCCTTCAGTTACTAAATGGTCATCTCCACCCACAAGTTTTCTTACTTTCACTCTTTGGATTCTTTCCAACATCCCATTCAGGGAGAGCAGACAGTGATTGAGTGATTGCTTAGTTGCTGAATGGGGCCAGTCCAAACAAATGGAAATAATAATGCATATAAATAATTGATTCTTGAAGAAAATTTTTATTCAAATTCCAAAAAATTTGACACTGCAGCAAAGGAAAGCATGCAACTAATTTGAGAGCAGAGGAGAGTAGAAGTCTTCGCAACTTGTCAAACTGAGGATTTCTAGTTAATTTGTTTTGGTAACAGAAGTTCAAATTGAAGATCATCTTCATGTAAGCCGTGTTTTATTTTGAAGACTGTGGTCAAAGGCATGCTGCTTTTGCAGCATTTGCTGCAAAAGTATCTTAGTTTAGCAAGAAAGATTGTGAATTTTTCTCTGATTCATTTATGAATCAGAGGCCCTCATAGTTTTTATATTTCAGATTCTATGTATTTTTCAGCCTGAGGATTATTTTCAGTAATGCTAATTTCATGTCTCATTGTGTTACTCTGCTATTTCTTTCTAGGTATGGAAATAACTGTAGGTTTCTGTTAGTCTATTTTCACATTCAGAGTTTGTTCTGAAAAGAGATACATTAACTGACTTATGCATTGATGCTGTCTCAAAAACCGTGCTTCCATGTTCTGAAGTCTTTTTTTCCCCTTCTTCCAACTCTCTCCTGCAGCCAAAGGGGAGATTTCCTGTTCATTTCTTGTATTTGCACTTGTATAGTCCTGCATAGGATTTAGCATATTGGAGTTGAAACTACATCTGTTGCAGCAATGCATTCCTGTTGCACGGATCTCTTTTGTAACATACAACTATTCATATACTTGAGTTAATGTTTTAAAATACTTTTAAAATAGTTTGTTTACCTTTTCTTATTGTATTTTACCACACCTTCTTTCTTCTCTCTGCAGAATTCTTTACTGTATGAACTCTTCTCTGTTATGGTCCATTCTGGAAGTGCTGCTGGTGGCCATTACTATGCCTGTATAAAGTCTTTTAGTGATGACCAGTGGTACAGCTTTAATGATCAACATGTTAGCAAGGTAAAACTAATATTTTTGTTGTCTTAAGTACACATAAATGAATCAATGCATTTTTATTTTTCATGTGATTTTTCACCTGCATTTAACAGAGCTGTTGGACTCTGTAGTTTGTTCATTGACATATCATTTTTATGGTAAATCAAAGGGTGGAGAGTAGCAGGACTTTTAATTCTATTTCTCCAGCTGCCTTCCTCCCCTTCCAGTTTTGTTTGCCACATGCTGTTGATCTTAGCCCCTATTTCTTTGAAGCAGGAGCCTTTTTATTTCTGTTCTCCCCTCACCCCTCCTGAATTTTTGCATTGCAGTCAAAGTCACAGCACACTTTCCACTTGCAGGCAGCAGTGTGTATCAGGTAGCGTACGACCACTGTTTACTAGCTGTCAATTACACTGTGACAACAGTTCTCAGTGTAACCCCTTCTGTACTCTTGATAGTTGCTAGTCAGGTTGCATTTTAGTCCATTGTCTGAGGCATGATCTGTTTTTTTGCCCAAACTGTGCAGTAAAACCAACCTGCAACACTAGTTGTCTGGAGAGTGTCACAGCTTAGTCTACCTGGTTCAGCTGACTGAGATGTGAGATCATCTATATTCTGATTCAGCCTATGTGATTGGAGCAGTTGGTCTGCAGCTTCTACTTGATACATTTATCTTTCCTTCAGTTTCCTTGTGTTACACTCTGTTTTCTGTATAAGTAGAATATAGCACGTTCTTCCCATAAATTTAAGTGCAGTAGTTCTCTCTCTCTAGTACGATGAAGGTTGTAAAAAGCAGGCTCCAGTATACCAGACTTTATGGTCAGTTCTCATGCCGTGCCAATAAGATCTTGATTTAGCAGCAAGGAATGTTTTAAACAGAAGCCTTTATCCATATACAGACTGCTGGATTTACAGTTCGGCCTTCCTATGTATGCTGAGAATATTTCCTTGCTTAGAGAAGTGTATTTGTAGATCTGTGAAACTCATTGTAAAGTGAAGAGGCTGATCATGCTGAAACAGATTTTTGTTCCGCTCTACAAAAAAGCAGATCTGGAACATTTTTGAAATAGTAATAATTAATATTATGTTAATATGTAGTGCCATCTTTTGTAATGAGAATGAATGCATTTCAATTATCACAAGTTTCTCAAATAATCAGTACATTGATTTTTCTGTTAGATAACTCAGGATGATATTAAGAAAACATATGGTGGGTCTTCTGGAAGCAGAGGCTATTATTCCAGTGCTTTTGCTAGGTAAGTCCTGCAGCACTACATTCCATTCTGGTGGCTGATGTAAGCAGAGGAATGGCTGGAGACTCGTGTGCTTAACAGGTTAGCTTGAAAATGACAGTTGATACTCCAAGTAATGTTAAAAGCTATCGTGACTGCTGTTAAGTTCATTTAGAATAGCATAATGTTGACTTTTGAAAGTCTTTCTTTGGTTTGAGTGCTATTAAGATAAGTGCAATGCAACTTTTACTGATAGTAATGGGGAAATAAACCAACTTTTGAAATGAGCAATGTTCTCATGTCTGATAAATTCAGGTAAATATTCTTTTTCTTCATCAGCTCCACAAATGCATATATGCTAATATATAGACTGAAGGATCCAGCAAGGAATGCAAGTAAGTATGTTTTGAGTTTCTAAACTAAGAAGATCCTATTTTGGAGTAGGGAAACACTTATATGTGAATGAGAGCCCTAATTTGGGGGAGAAAGGGGATGGTGGTGTTGATTTTATATTTTTTTTAAGGTAAGCTGAAGTAGCTTTAATATAGGAGACCCTTTTACAGCTTTTCATTACTCTGTTAATTGTAATTTATGATCATTATGTGGCCATCACAATTTTTTTTTTTTAATATTATGGATCTGAATGCCTGATATGCTGGATGACTCTGAATGAACTGAGGTGCCCTGGTAGTGCCAGGCTTGGTAGCGGAATGAAAAATATTTTCTTCACTTAAAAATGAGTCATGAACTTCCTGACAGCTAAGTTTTACATGTTATTATCAGCCTTTGCTTTTAGCTTCTTAGCAGGCAAGATAATGTGAGTTATAGAGCAAGATCTGAGATCTCATGTTCTTTTTTGTTCCTTACGTCTGATTTAGCGCATCAAGGTTTAGAAGATGCCCACCACCATATAGTAGCTGACAGGTTGATTATTCTTTGAAATGTGTCTCGGTGAAAAATGAATCCTATTTGGATTCAAAACTAGAATATCTCCTTGGAGACTTCATTCAGATAGGGTGTTGGATTGTTCATGTTACTAACAACTATACGCTTTCAGAATTCATTTCTATTGTGGAGGTTATAAAAATATATTTTCTTAAAAATAATCACGTTTCTCAGTTAAAATCTGTTTGACCTCACAGAAATGATGCAATAGAAAATCATGGTCTGGTAGAATAGAGCTTAGCTTTTGAGCTGGTTGTTGAATTCCAGCATTTGATCTGCAGATGATAGGACATACCTAAAAAGTTGTATGTCCAGTGGAGAAGGGAGTAAAAGATCTTTGAAAAAAAAATTTGTTTCTCGTATTTTAATGCTGTAAATACTTGATAAGAAATATGAACTAATTACCAGTTTCCTTTAACTTTTTTAACAAAATATTGAGAATCTGAGGATGACCATTAGAAAGAATAAGGATAGAAATTAGCAGTGCAGGGATAATTAAAATGAACTTTTTTTTAACACAGACTAAAAATCAAAGATTAAACTTTAAGAGTTCTTTTTAATAAAATTAGTAAGTTGCAATTACTTTCACATCACTATGTTTTTATGTGTCTTTAGGCAAATTTTCATCTCATGCCAGCATAATAAACTCAAACCACATTTTCTGCAGAAATCTATTTCATCAAACAAAGTACTGTTTTCACCATAAAATTGAACAGTGGCATTTTCTTTGGAGAAAAAATACTCAAGTATCCCATAAAAACAATTTTGTTGGCTTCCATTTATTTCTGTGAATTCATGATATATGGGACAGTGTGCTTATAAAAATATATCTGCTTTTAAAGTATTAGTACCTGAAGCAGTACTCTGATCTTCTTTGTTTAGAACTGAATGTAGCTCAAGGAGGATACTGTTAAAACAATTTTTCATCTATTGATAGTTAGAGTAGTAAGTCTGAAGAAAAATGGTACAGTTGTTTCAGTATTTAATTAAAACAGGAATTGATTACAGGTTGTGTGAAGGTTAAAACTAAATAGAACTTAACACTCCTGAAGAAAATCTTTGGGCCAAGAACTCTCTTTGGAAAAGATTTTCCATTATCTTCTCTGATGGACAATTGCTTAACATGGAGAAACTGAATCTGTTATTTCAGATTTCTTAAAACCATTTTTAGCTTTGAGAAGCTGTTTGCCAAGTTCCTTCTGGTGATGTCTTGCAGGATTGTGAGGGCTGTGTTTTTAAGATGAAATATTGCGTATTCTACTTTACATGGCAAAATACCATGAAGTACGCTGTACTAAGGGCTATTATTTTATCCCATTAAAGATGATACTTTAACTTTCATCATGTTATTCATTTTAGAACAGATTTTAGCTTTATTATAAAAGCACTCTTGTGAGCAGTCATCAGTCTCGTTGTATTTATTTACAATGGTAAAACTTCCCTACCAGTACTGGAATATTAATTTTCCTGTAGTAATAACATGGTCTGGTATTGCTGATGTATATAGGTTGCCCTGAAAGTAATGGAAACAACAACAGATAAAACACAGTAGCACTATTTGATAAATTCTCAGCTACAAAATACTTTTTCAATACAGATCTTCACAAGTCTCAGTAAGTGTCAGTGGTGCCATTTTTTTCTGCGTGGATGAATTCAATGAGACACCTTTGTTCATCCCTGTTTCTATATCAGATGCCATTCTGTCAGACTGCCCCTCTGCTGCCGTCTGTCACATGGAAACAAAATTCAAGGGAATATTGGTAGGAGGGATCAGTCTCTACTGTCATACCACCAACATCTGCCTATGACATGGTGGGCCGATCTAATAAAATAGGACGCATTACTTTTGGAGCAGCCCTCATAGTTTGCCAAGGGAAACAGTTGATTTCAGTTCCATTTCAATCTTGAAAAAGGGAACAGGACAGATTGTTCTGTTGTTTGTGTTCTTTTCTGATAGAGTTTCTTGAGTCACACGAGTATCCTGACCATATTAAGCAATTGGTACAGAAAGAGAGAGAACTGGAAGAGCAAGAAAAGAGGCAACGGGAGATTGAGCGCAACACTTGCAAGGTTAGAATTTCTTTCAATAACATAGCAGTAATTTTCCATGTATTGTTTCTGATATTAATTGCAACTTGTTATTACATTGCAAATATTTTTGTAATAAATGTACATCTGAACTGTACATCTCTTGGAAGCTTACTGTTAGAGGTAATAACTAGAGGTTCTTGTTGACTTCATATCTTCCATGTGAGTATGAGCTAGTGTTTAAAAAAAACAAACAAGCAAACAAAAAAAAACAACACTCTAGCTCAGAATCGCTTGATTTCAGCAAAATGTGTTCCAAAAAACATGAAATGCCATACATTGACTGCTTCATGCTATGAAATCTTCTAATGTTGTTTTTGAGTTGTGGATTGATGTTTCATAGGCTGATTTAAACAAATAATTTAACAGAAAGGGAGAAACTTTTCTTCTGACAACAAATGAGATAACTACAAAATGACATTTATGATTTACAAGCATGTCTGTTACCCAGTCTTCCTATGGATCAACTAGCTTTATTGGAAGGTTTCCTACATCTGTGAAATGTGCATACATCAAAAATGTGCATACGTTTCACATTTGTTCTTCCTGTGCACATTTTGGTTTGTTTTGGAGGGAAAGTTTTAATTTTTACTTTGTATTCTGTCACACAGTGCTATCTAATGTGCAATTTGTGTTTTCTGTCTGTAGCTGTATAACCAGCTGAAGGGAAGCTTTTCTACAGCTGAGTTGGAGCTGAGGATACATTTTAGATAGTTTGAAAATAAGTTTGTAAATTAATCTATTTCAATATGTACAATTATTTAATCTACTGTTGTGTTAATTTTTTCTTTATTTTGTTTCACAGATTAAATTGTTCTGTATGCATCCAACAAAACAGATAATGATGGAGAATAAATTAGAAGTTCATAAGGATAGAACGCTGAAGGAGGCTGTGGGAATAGCTTACAAGGTATGCTATGCATATTAGAATATTAAAATTATTAGATGTAATTTTTCTACTGTGATGTTTAAATTTCTAGTGCTGTGGGAGTGGTTGCTGTTTTTGTTTGTTTGTTGGTCCGTTTTTGCCTTTTTGAAGAGGAGTTCTAGTTGGAAGTATTGACTGACTCGTCTGTTGTTAGCTGTCAGATATCTGTTGGGAGTGATACAGCCTGCCCTTTTAAAAGGCAGTATGACCCTTCTTCTAAAATCACAGTGGGAACTTCTGGTAGACTCTCCATAGCCTCCGTAGGTTGAAAGAATTTTGATTTATATTGATATTTCAGTAAGAATTTCGTGACGGAATTATGGTGAGAGTAGTTTCAAGAAACATCCTTTATAGCTAATACAGAATAAAAGCAGGCACCAAAGCATATGTTTTTACAAAGAGCTAAGGAAGGGTATTTTTGCTTACCTACTCTTTAGTTCTTGACATATGCATCTTTGACTGAAAGACTACAGGCAAGACTGTATAGATTTGAAATAATTTAACATTTTTTTTGAAGATTAACGCACGTAACTTCATCAGACCTCTAAGATGTTGTCTGGTATCTGATATAGTATGTTTTCATATTCTTACATCTCAAATTCCTCTTTTTTCTGGATTGTGATGCAGGTGTTTCTGTGGCTATATTTATCACTTCTCTATAACATAGACTGTGAATGTACCTGTTTTGTTGTTTGTATTTTTTTAAACACTGGATTAAATGATTGAATGTGTGTACACTGAGATTTCTAGCTTGCAAGGGAAGAGCTAAGCCCAAAAAAAGCCATTAGTAAATGGTATTTCTTGTGTTTGTTTGTTTAGCTGATGGATTTAGAAGAGGCTGTCCCTTTAGATTGCTGTCGTCTTGTCAAATACGATGAGTTCCATGACTACTTGGAACGATCTTACGAAGGAGAAGAGGATACACCAATGGGTTTATTACTTGGAGGTGTCAAATCAACGTACATGTTTGACTTACTGTTGGAAACAAGAAGACCTGACCAAATTTTCCAGTGCTATAAGCCTGGTGGTAAGTCACATAATTACAAATAGACAAAGACAGGGGAAACAGATGTATTACATGGTGGTAGGAAAATAAGACTTGGATAATACAGAACAGTTTTGCCTCTGGCATTAAAAATGAGATTCTGAAATTGTACACCTTCTCAAATTCAGTGCTGCTTGCATGGATTTAATGAAACCCCTTAACCAGTATATCGGAGAATGGTACGCTTATTTTTTTTGCCTTTTGAATTTTCTTGATATATCTGTGGTTTTTTTTCCTCATCCCTACAGAGGTCATGGTAAAAGTTCACGTAGTTGACCTGAAGACTGAATCTGTTGCTCCTCCAATAAGTGTACGAGCTTATTTGAATCAGACAGTTTCAGAATTCAAACAGCTAATTTCAAAGGTAATTTACCATTGTTCACAAATATGTATTACAGAATTTTCATTTATTCTTGCTCTAAAAATGTGTAATAACTTTAAAAACTATAACAAGACCTTGCACTTTTACAGCACAGTTCATGCCGTGTGTCATGTTACAAGATTTGGTTAGTTGTTGCAGTTGAGCTTGTCTATTTACTTGCTGCTGCTAAAAGAGCAGTCTACTTGATCTGTCTGTAGTTCTGCTCTGACTTTTGCACAAAGTTAGCTACTGTCTGGCCCTGTTGTTTACAAACTAATCAGATAATCTGGTTTTTGGAGAAGCTGAAGAGTCAAGCCAATATTCTTTTGGACTAGTAAATTCAATCATGTCAGTAAGTTATTCTATCAGTAGCAGAACTGTTGTTGAATTCTTTAACCATATCACTGATACAGCATGCAGCTTCCCCCCATTGGCTCTTCTTCCATTTAACTGGAAGAAAACAGCCATTTCTCTTAGTTCTGTATGACTCAGTTCAGTGTAACTTCATAATATTCATTGTAGAATGAGGTTTGAATTAAGGGATATGCACAAAACCTGATGCTTGAAAATATTTTTGATTTTCAACTGGTTTTGTACACTTAGTATGGTATTGACACTGATTTTATTACTAGTTGCTAAGTTTGTTAGTTCTCTGCAAAGTCAAGGCATTTTAGTCTCCTGATCTTGTGAAAAAACTGATGTTATGTGTCAAAAGATGGAAGAAAGCAACTGAGACTGAACAGTTTGAGGTTGATTTTCCTGCTGCTGTCTTTACAGTTCTTAAATCAATACAAATCTTCTCATTTCACTGTGATTAATCTTAAAATGATTATTCATGTTCCAGTATTTGAAATTGTATAATGCACTTTAACTTACTGTGATTGTCTTATTTCAGGCTACGCATCTGCCCGCGGAAACAATGCGGGTAGTGTTAGAACGTTGCTACAATGATTTGCGTCTTCTGAATGTTTCCAGCAAAACACTGAAAGCTGAAGGCTTTTTTAGAAGCAATAAGGTAGGTGTTCTGATTTTGAAACTGTCCATGTATCTACATGGCATCATCTACAAGACCGTACTGCAAGTGGGAGGGAAGTCTAAAATATATATAAAATTTATAAAGGATAACAGTCACTTATTTTACTATTCTTTGAACTGTTAAATATTGTGTCTTTTTTGGTAACTAGAAGATATTACAATGTCAACAAATTCTGTGGGCTGTTTATAAAGCCTATTGTACATAAGAAGGTAGAGCAGATTCATAATCAGAAATCTGGCTCATATCACAATCAGGGGTTCGCATGGTGCTGAGTTAAAAAACCTTTATGACAGAGATTTGTAGAAGTCATCTCCTAGGACAGAATGGTTAGCATTACTCTGAAATCTATCTACTTAGTTTTTAAATTTTATGATCAGCTTCTCAACACTGTTAAAGTTCTTACAAAGCAAACTTCAAAGCTAAGAGCAAGTTTTTGGTAGATCTTAATCTTAAATTCAGGAATTTCCCCTAGCCAATTCTGTGTTTTTTCTGAAAAGACTTATACTGTTTCCAGTTATAGCTCGAATAGAATAGAATGGTTGGAAGGGACCTTTAAAGATCTAGTCCATCTGCCCAACCACTTCAGGGACTAACCAAAAGTTAGTGTATTACTGAGGTCATACATTCACAAAAAGGATAACTGAGAACTTAAATAATGTTCGTAATTCAATAACATTGGTAGTGTTGTTCTCTATACTACAGTAGCACACCTTCCAGCTATATTACTTGTAATTTAGCTTTGAAATTTAGGCTCAAGATCACAGTATGCTGGATGAGCAAAGATTTGTGAGGGAGCAAAATAATGTCACTGACTTGTTATTCAGTTACTTTAAAGCCTTTCACATTCACATGGTGATCTTTGAGAAAGGAAAAAGAGAAATTTGGTCACTTGTTTTCTCAGTTGCTCTATTGTTTGCCCTTGTATGCCTTTCAAGATTTCTTATTAGTGATGCTGTACTAGAAAATAAAGTACTTGTTGATCTTGCTACTACTGCAGCTAGTGTTATCGTACAGATTAAAACTTCCTGTTGTAAATAATGTATAGTGCAGCTGGTCGGCCTGGTTACAGGTCACTCTAATCTGAGCATGATTATGAAAATAAAGGGAAATTATTACTAAGCTATGACTCCTTAGTTTCTGTCTTAATATATATTTTAAAATGTTTGCTAGAAGACTGTGTTTCTTATTGATGTAATGTGTGTTCAATCCTATCTGTTTGCTGTTGTTGGTTTTATTATTTAATGTAATGCTACACGGTAAAACCACTATTGTTTTATGTTTAGGTATTTATTGAAAGCTCAGAATCTTTAGATCGTCATGTGACATATACAGATTCTCACTTATGGAAACTTCTGGATCGTCATGCAAATACAATCAGACTGTATGTCTCGTTACCAGAGAAGTCACCTGGATCTCAGTTTAGACAATCTGTTTATCAGAAGGCTAGTGGAGATTTGGGCAACTTGGATGAAGCCTGTGAGAGGGTAAAAGGACCTGCAGGCAACATGAAATCTGTTGAGGCAATTCTGGAAGAAAGCACTGAGAAGCTTAAAAGCTTGTCCCTGCAGCAGCAGCAACAGGAGGGTGATAATGGAGACAGCAGCAAAAGCACAGAAGCCAGCGATTTTGAAAATATCGAATCCCCTTCAAATGAAATAGACTCTTCAGCATCAGTAGAAAACAGAGAACTTGAAAACCAAATTCAGATTTCTGATCCAGAGAATCTCCAATCTGAGGAACGGTCAGATTCAGATGTAAATAATGACAGGAGTACGAGTTCGGTGGACAGTGATATCCTCAGTTCTAGTCATAGCAGTGATACTCTATGCAATGTGGACAATGCCCCGATTCCCTTGGCTAATGGACTTGATTCTCATAGTATCACAAGTAGTAGGCGATCAAAAGCAAATCAGGGGAAGAAAGAAACCTGGGACACGGCAGAAGAAGATTCTGGAACAGACAGCGAATATGATGAAAGCGGCAAGAGTAGAGGAGAAACACAATATGTGTACTTCAAGTCAGAACCCTACACTGCAGATGAAGGTTCAGGAGAAGGGCAGAAATGTATGTATTTTTGTTTATTATCGTGTGCCTTAAATGCTAGTAAAGTTTAGTTTATCTTTTAATTCGTATGCTCCTTTAAGTCTAATTACAGTTTTGAGAAACTTGTTTTTATGTCAGATTAAAACTAATGAAAGTGCAAGGATGAAATGTGATGCCAGGTTCAGTTACAAGCAGACAATATTAGTTAGGTTTTCAGTGTACTTAAACACTGTCTTTTCTTCCTAAGAACGTGTTACATCTGTCTGTGATGCATCTGTTTTCCTTCTGGTGAAGGCATTTTCTGGAGAATAAGTTGAGTTGTCTTGTAGCGAAAGGAAAGTCACTTTATGTGCTGAGGATGATTTGTCTGTTTCAGAATGCGGTTAATTACTGTGATTCGCAGAGCAATAATTCTATTAACATTTCAGTTAACAAACTTGAAAAATCCAAATCATTTTACTTGATGAAAATTCAAGTATACTTTTACATTTATCAGTTAAGTCAGTAGACTGTTGCTTTTATGTTAATTGAAACGCAATAAGTACAGTGAAGCTTATGGCATACGTGAGAATGGTGGTGTACGTTCAGTGTAAGAGGTCCTCTATTGTCAAAAAGATACATTATTCAGAAACAATATTCAGTGTCTCTGTATGTTTTATGATTAACAGAAGAAAGATTAACAGCTGGATATAAACCTTGGAAAGGCAAAGGTTTAACACTGAATCCAGAAATCCTAGAATACTAGATAAGGACTCAATCTTATTAATGAAGTGAAAATGTTTCTTTAATAAAAGTTGCACTGAGAGAAATTTTAGTGAAGCTGTTTCAAGAGTTTGAAAAAAACATCCCATGGAAGGGGTGGAATGGAAAGATTCTGTTGCTACTTCTACTTGAACTGCTTAAATTTTTCCTTTTTTGGTAGGGCTAGTTAAATACAGATGTTATTTAGAGTACCTTGGACATTTTTTGTAACACTTCATACGAGTGGACATCTGAAAGCTTTTCTGAGTAAAACAGCATGGACGGGTTTTTATAATTCAGTTAACTAATGTTCATGTAGCAAATTATGTTGTACTATGACTGTGTTGGACTCATTGGGAATAAAAAGTACTTAATGTTGTAGTTTACCCCAGTGGGCAGCTCAGCACCACACGGCTGTTTGCTCGTTTGCCCCCTCCCAGTAGGATGGCAAAGAATAACTTGTGGGTTGAGATTAAAAACAATAATAAGAGTAATAATAATAGATATTTACAAAACAGGTGATGCACAGTGCAATTGCTCACCACCTGGCAGCTGATTACCAGCCTGTCCTGGCCAATTCCCCTCGGTTGTATTTATTTATTTTCACAAGATACATCATACAGTATAGAATATCCCTGTCCCTCAGCTCCCTTGCTAGCAAGACAGTATGAGAAACTGAAAACTGCAAAATCCTTGGCCTTCTGAAGCTGCCACTCAGCAACAACTAAGTCATCAGTGTGTTATCAGCATTGTTTTTCTCTGAAAGCCAAAACATAGCATACCAGACACTAAAGGAGAAATCAACTCTGACCCTCTTGAAACCAAGACAGCGTAGTTTGTGGTGTAAGTCCAAACTACATATATTAAGAAACAAATTACTTATGTTCTAGAATTTTATGTAACCAGAATATTTTTTAAATACAAAATTATTCAGTGTAAAAAGTCCTTGATCTAGACTTGAGCTTGCCTTGTGATACCATGTGACATTCCAAAACAGAGTTATAACCAACCCTTTTCATTCTGAAAATGTTGCTGTTTGAAAAATAGGGCAGTTTGGAACTGCTGTGTCTTCAGGAGTATCAGCCCATAAACATTCCCAATGCAACAAAGCTCATTCAAGTTACAGTAATGCCCTTTATAATTAGTAGGGTTATATATATGAAAATAATGTGTTAGAATGCATTTTTTTAATATGAGTACTCCGTGCTAATTTCATCTTTATTTTTGTTTAGGGTTGATGGTGCATGTTGATAAAAGAATTACGTTGTCTGCCTTCAAGCAACAGTTGGAGCCTTTTGTTGGAGTTCCATCCTCTCACTTTAAAGTCTTTAGAGTCTACGCAAGCAACCAAGAGTTTGAGAGTGTTCGGCTCAATGAGACACTTTCATCATTTTCTGATGACAACAAGGTTATTCAGAAGTTATTTTGAAAAAAAAAAAAAAAAAAAAAGAATTGGTACACTATAACCAAGTTTAAGATAATCTGCAACTTCTTGTTAGTTGCTTGTTTAAATCACTGCTTTAATCTTGGTATTGTTACAAAATGTAATTTTGATTGTAATGCCAGTTCTAACAAACACTACTTTTTCTTTACAGATAACTATTAGACTTGGAAGAGCCCTTAAGAAGGGTGAATACAGAGTCAAAGTCTATCAGCTTTTGGTAAATGAACCAGAGGTAAGGTGTTATAATTGAGATTGATTAATAGTGATTTATGAAAATATTAGTAAGTGCTTTGGCACTTAGATTTTCCTCTGAAACCTTGCTAAAAAGAACCCTTTTTTCTCTGAGCTTTTCTGCTGTTTTCCCTAGATTAAAAAAGGGAATTTCGGGCTATTTTTTTTTCATGTGCCTCAGAATATGCAGTTGGAATGTGATCTGTAGTCTTTCAGATGTCTTTATTTCTGCCGTATAAATAGAGGACAAATGAAGATCACTCCTTGTTTTTCTTAAATGTGTTTAGTTGTATAGTATTCTTTCCAAATAGAAACTGTTCTGGCTTCTTGTTGCTGTTTTCAGTAATAGGAAACAAATAGAACTTGCTGCAATCATGCAGGGCAGGTGGTGCCTATAGGACTGCCCTATGCAGAAGGGATAGGCACCCGCCTAAGGGAGTATAGAAACAAAAATACCTTTCTTGTAGTAATACGGCTCACTTGCTTATAGCATCTTTTGAGAAAAGAGTAAAAGTTGATCTCATTATACAGATGGGAGTCTTTAAAAGTTGATGTAATGTGCATCTTAATTTCTGATCTTATGGTTTGGACCAAACTGCAGAATATATATATATCTTAATAAAGGAAAAGCATATGGTACTGAAACTGAACTAGTTAAGCAGACAGTGAGATTAGTCCAAGAATAATTTCCAGTCATGATGTCATGACCAGAGTAAGCCAAGAAATTGGCATATTTATCCTCCTGTGGCTTATTTATCTTAAAAGCTCTTTCATCAGCACTTTCCAAATTGTTTGAAATGTTAATATAATGGCAGCAATTAGTAATCTGGGGACCAGATGCTACTTCTGCAGTGGCGTGCATTCAGTAGTTTTTGGGTGACATGTCAAAGGGTGACTGCAGTGCAATTGAATCCTGATGTTAATCAGTCTTGTTTACAGAAAATGATTACTTTGCCACTTGAGTGGGACTGGTTTCAAGGGCAGAGACAAGACTGAAAGACAAATCTTCTTTATTATTATTTATATTTTATATAATATATAATCATTAACAATATGTATTATCGTTAATTTCTTTAATGGTTTTCTATTTGCTATGTTCACAGCCATGCAAGTTTCTTCTAGATGCAGTTTTTGCTAAGGGAATGACCGTCCGACAGTCCAAAGAGGAGCTACTCCCTCAGCTTCGAGAACAGTGTGGCCTGGACTTAACAATTGACAGGTAAAGATTTTGCAGTCAGGGCTGAAGTTAAATGACTAAATATTACTGTGAAGTGTGTATCTTTTCTCTTGTAGGAAGGAAGAATATTAGGAAGTGAGCAGAAATAAGTTACTGTGGTGTTTTTTCCCAATTCACAATTGGATTTAAACATTAACTTCACCATTTTTGGCCTTCTTTTCATGTAAAATGATAGAGGGAATCGTATCTACCTTGAAACGTCTGTGTGCAAAATGACTACAGGTCTAGATGAAATAAATACTAATTTTATTCAGAAAGAAGAGCATTTAAGTAAATCTGTTCATATACAAAAGCATAAAATAGTAAAAACGTTTCCTGTTGAGAAAAGGAGTAAAAATGTAGATCTGAACCAGGTAATTTCTACTTATCTCACTATGACTTGGCCAAAGGATTATTGTCTGCCACACATGTATTGTGTTGTCTAATGCCTCCTGGGCACATAACAGTATTTGACTTCTGTGTATTGAAACCATTATAATTAGTGTTATGCTTGTATTTATTTTCATTTTAGTTGTTCATACCAGTATTGTATTTAGTTGCATCTGAATAAAGCTCATGCTTTTATCGTGTGTCTGTATTGACGCAGTAGAACCAAGAATGTAAACCAAATACCAGTCTTCCATACTAATCTCTCCAAACAAAAACAACAAAAAAGGCAGGGATAACTTTTGGAAGCTTCTGGTAATACTCTGCCTGTGCTGCATAGGAAATTGTTTTCTTCCTCCAAGCCTTTATGGATTTCTTGCACTGAACAAGCATATGCAGGCTTGTTGTCTTTGATGCTGCACTACCAGACTGGTGACAGCATACTGTCAGGTATATCTCAGAATGTTGAAATTATTGCTGCTAAACCTTACCTACCCTCACATAAATGAGTTGCATTTCAGTTTCACCAAAAGAAAAAAAAAAGCAATGTTCCTTTTGTTTTTTGTTTTTTTAACTCCAATACACTGTTAATTGGTTGAAAACTTTCCTCTGTCATTTATTTACAGGTTTCGTCTACGGAAGAAAACCTGGAAGAACCCAGGGACCGTGTTTCTGGATTATCATATCTATGAAGAAGATATCAATATTTCAAGCAATTGGGAGGTTTTCCTAGAAATACTTGATGGTAATAATAATACAGAGAGAAAGTGAAGATCATGGTAGAGCTTTTATTTAGAGAACAGTAGAAAATGCAATTCCCTTCTTTTTTATGTAGGACTAATAAAACTGAAGTGTGTTTTCAGGGGTAACTTAAGGGAAAAATATAGGCCGTGCTGTTTTTTCTCTGGCATTTCTCATCGTGTGTAGATAAGGAATGTAGATTGCATTTGCTCAGAAACTTTTTCACAAGCATACATGCTTTAAGAAGTCCAACATAACTGTCACTCCAGTACCATGAGCTCTTTTGGACAACTGATGAATCATTGTATTTTTAGTTTTAGCAATTAATGTCAAAACAAATGCAAGATATTGAAATGAACATTGGTGATTCTGCAGTCCTGCAGATGGACTGGAAATATGTATCAGCTCACACTTGAATTGTTGGAGGAGCATAAAGGCAACTGTTTTAAAGTTCTATCAGCACTTCTTTCATCTTGTTTTTCAGCTAAGCACATTAGTCAAGTAAATAGTGTGACTTAGGGCATTTTTACAGCTAATTTCCTTGGAGTAGTGGATTTATATCCTGTTACATGCATATTTAAATTAATTGTTCTGTGGTTCTGAAGGAAGCTTAGATAATTGCTTCAGACGTGCCAAGAAGGATTTAATTGATTGTAGCTTCATTTTGGGCAACAGCTTAAGTGTTGAGAGGGAGCACAAACACAGTCATAGACAAAATTGTAGAAGATGTTTAGAAGCTTGAAAAGTGGTGGTTTCATGCACCACAGGCATGTAATGGTAGACATAAATGTTGAAGTTGAGTATTCCATAGGCTAAATTACAAAATTTTAAACCAGTTTAGGAGTGGTAACATCAGCACTTCCATATTATTTATGCTTATTTGATTGTGCAGTTCATGGCGTAACCCTGTCTACCAGAGAAAGCCCTGGTGTAAGAAATCTGGAGGCAACACATATTTTGAAGGTGGTAGGTGTAAAGCAGACTTCAGAAACAAGTGTGTAGTTAGTGTGTGAAAGCTAAAAGTGAAATGTGAAAAGCTCTACTTTAGGAACGAAAGTGAAGCACATGAATAATTACCAGATTGCAGAGGAAGGCTGTGCAAATGCAAGATCAGAAGATCAGCCTCTGATTGGGTGGCTGGATATTTTGTATGTGACTAAGCTGGATGTGGTGGAAGAACACATCCTGCAGAGGAGTAAATGGCATTGCTTGTAAGGGATGTTGTCTATGACAGATTGTTTGAAATTAAGTCCTAGTCCTGCTTTTCCTGTTCTTTCTCCTCTTTTTTAGTAGACTGCCTGCAGCATACAGAGTTGCGTAATATTTTATGGGCAGTTTGTCTGTGTGTGTAATGCAGTCTTCAATACCTGAGTGTGCATTTGCTATGGGTAACCCCTAATTTTAAATAAGCTACTTTATGATGTTAATGTAATAAATTTCTTTCTCTTTCTAAGGAATAGAAAAGATGAAATCCATGTCACAACTTGCAGTTTTATCAAGACGATGGAGGCCATCAGAGATGAAGCTAGATTCTTTCCAGGAAGTAGTGTTAGAAAGCAGTGGCGTTGAGGAATTAAAAGAAAAGGTAAAATCTACAAACCATGTAAATTTCTCATGGTTACTGAATGTCTTATGCATGTCTTCCATTGGGAAGCACGGGGGTATCATGACTTTAGTACTTTTCCTCCTAAAACCAGAACTTTCCAACAGGCAAGTGTATGTGCCATACTAGCAGAAGTCTAGAGTAGGGAGTGTGTTTTATTATGGGACTGTTTTATTAATTTGGTTTATCAAAGGGTTTCTTACAAATGGTTGTTCATATATAGGAATACTAAGATGGAAGAAGGACCTCTTGGATGTTGATGTCAGCAAAAATCCTGTTACCAAGTCTGCCAGTCTTAATTCAAATATTAATAATAGGATTTTTTGTATAGGCTGGAAAGAGGAGCATCATTCAGCTTACATCTTCATTTTTATCTGAAGAGGAAGTCAGCTTTTCTTGTTTTCCTTTCTTAAGAAACAAATTGCAGGGAGCAACTTGAAAGCATCTCTGAAGGAATGCTGTTAATTCTTTTGGTCGCACCAGGAAGATAAGTTTGAATTTGACATCTGTAGTAACAGAGGTTCATCCAGATCTTTTCAGCTAGCCAAATTATCAACAGATAGTAGGGCTGATACATTTCAGAAATTTGCTGGGTTTTGTTAGTATTTGTTGATTTAACCTAGTTTTTGCTAAGGAAATGAGAGTTGGAAAATTAGGCTGGCTATTAGTCTGCTCTTATAAGTTCAGTTCAACATACCAGAAGAGCTGATGGAGACAAGAATCTTAGAAATGAAATCTCCAAATTTTGGGAAAATAAGCAGCCGTGGATAAAAACAAATCTAAGTTAATATCTGCGCTGCCTGGAGACAAGACTGCAGCCTGCCTTTGAGTTAAGGGCAAGGCAGTGCTGAGTCTGTGTGCACCATGAGATTGCTCAGCAAATACCTAACGGGTTGGAGTCAAGTGGATGGGGACAGCCTCTTTTCAATGCCACCCAAGTGATAGAACAAGGGGAAATGGGAACAGACTGGTATACAGGAAGGTCCATATGAATGTGAGGAAAATCATCTTTACTGTGAGTGTCACAGAACGCTGGAACAGGTTACCCAGAGAGGCTGTGGAATCTCCTGTGAAGATACTCAGAATCTGCCTGGACCACCCTACCTGTGTACCCTGCAGTAGGGAGCCTGCTTTAGAGGGTGGTTGGACTCCATAATCTCTAGAGGTCCAACATTCTGTGATTATGGTAGGAAGTGTGGTGTATGTAGATGAGGTTAAGGCATACGTATTTTACAGCTTCATGTGCTTCCCTGCTTAACTGTAATAGTTTTCATATGATATAGAAAGGAAACAGCTGGATCTAAAGGTTTAACTTGAGGTAGTTGGTGACTTTGTGTCATGGATTCTATTAACTGTTTTTATTTTATTGTTGCCTTGCTGTGAAGTCAGGAATGTGATGAAACTGCCACATGAAATGTCACTTGTATGACACACTGGTAATTTCAAAAGTTCTGAAAGTGTGTACTTTGTCACTGTAATTTTGTACTAATACTTGAGATCATGTGACAACTTGTGTATGTTCGTCAGCTTCTAGATTTGGCAGGTATGTAGATCTATGTAGATGTAGCATAATGTTGTAGAATAGTACTTAAATCCATTTTTTTCACTTCACAGCTGAGTGAATTAAGCGGAATACCCTTAGAAAATATTGAGTTTGCAAAGGTAAGATCTTTCTTTTTTTTTCCTCTGCATTTTATTGGTGTATGCGATTGTAACTTTTTCATCCGCAATTGCTTCTTCTCAGGGCAGAGGAACATTTCCATGTGACATCTCTGTCCTAGAGATTCACCAAGACTTGGACTGGAATCCTAAAGTATCTACGTTGAATGTCTGGCCTCTGTACATTTGTGATGACGGCGCAGTAATATTTTATAGGTACATACTTTATTACAGAATAGTGATGCAAAAAATCTGTACTTAAGATTTGAGGAGTGATGTAATCAACAGAAGCTTAAACATTCTACTTGTTTTCTTAAAGGAGAAATGCTTGTGTGAGAGGATTGAAAACATGGAACTGTAATATTTGGGCTTCTCAGCTTCGTACAAACCTGACTATTAACTGTTTGGGTTTGCTTGTTTTAAGAAAATAAACAGTGTTCCTTTTTACTCACTTCTCTCTCTCAAGTCACTGCTAAATACAAAAGTAATTGCTGTTCTTGAGTGTATCTGAATTTCATCTAGCTGTTGGTGTTGTGATGGAATAAAGAACAGTCATAATTATTCACGGAGAGTAGCTATAGTCAAGTAGATGGAATACAGTCTTGGTTCTTGCTGTTTTCTGTTTGGTCTACTGTAAGAATACTGAATAAAAAGCAGACTCGGATTAATATTAGTCAGTGGAGAAGAAAAGCAGTTGTGTGGAACATTATGTTTTGTTCTGTTTTTGTTTTTTACTAAGCTGCACCAGTGGGGGAGAAATGAAGAAATCTAATAACTATTGTAGTTAATTTAACATAGATTTTTAACATGCGTTTTCATTTTAGGGATAAAACCGAAGAATTAATGGAATTAACAGATGAACAGAGAAACGAACTGATGAAAAAAGAAAGCAGCAGACTCCAGAAAACTGGACACCGGGTAACCTACTCTCCTCGTAAAGAGAAAGCACTAAAAATTTATCTGGATGGAGCACCAAATAAAGATTTGACTCAAGACTGATATTTGCTATAGCATTTTCCCTGGGGAATTTTTTTTGTTTAAAATAAGAAGGTTCACTACTACTGTGTAGTGCCATTACGGCAGGACGCTCATTAGGTGTAAAGCGCTGACACCAGCACTGATTGGGCTGTGCTACCAATCAGCAGCACAGTGCCCTGTTGGGTCGCTGTTTGACTTGGAATCATGTTGTGCACTATAGTCAAATGTACTGTAAAGCTAAAAGGGATGTGCAAATAAAAGATTAGAACTAAAAAATGGGTGGGGAGGGAAATGAGTGGAAATTTTTGAGGACAGTGTGCACATAGTAGCTAGTGAAACTAGCCTCAAACAGGATACTCATAGCTTAATAATAAAAGCTGTGCAAAGGCCATGAAAGAATCCTTTTTTGTTTGTTTCACTGATACACACATTACCTCATCAGAGAGTCTGAAGCATATGTTAACACCTCGGTTCTAAAAAGCAGCAGAAGGGGTTGAAGATGTGATGAAAGTGCTGCAGTTGTAAGGTCTGAGAATATTCTTCCACAATACAGGTGGTCTTAGAGGTTTGTCTGAAGCGGCCAGCAGGTGTTGGTTCTTTTTGCAGAAGCGCTGTTGTAAGGTAAACTGGTTTTTAGCAGGTTACGGAAGCTGGGTGAGCAGCTCTATGATATTTCATCCAATGTGTAAATAAAATTTGCCCTGTCCATTTAACAGAACTGCAGTTCAGCTATTTTCCATGGTATTTCTTTTCACATATCAGCATCCATTGAGTTTGAAAGTGTAGTTGCCTATTTAAATTTGTATTCATTTTGTTTGACAGTGCTGGGTACTTTAGGGTTGTATTTCCCCTTGTTAATTAAGCTTTCGTTCTGTTTAGCTACTTTTTTGTACATTTTGTTTTTGAGACTATTACAAGTTTGCGTCTTCTCCACCCATTGAAATTCATTTTATGTTTGCCTGGATTTGATTCCATAGCTATATGTAGTTAAGTACTTGGGCAACCTTTAACACCTCAACATATAAACTTGGTAGTTCAGGTTGTGGTGCAGAGACTGATGCAGTCAACGTGATTTCCTTGCAAAGCCTAGGAACAGCAATTTTTTTGCTTTGGTCCATAAAGATCAATAGAGAACAATTCTCCTTAGTTTTCAGAAAGCCACCTAATTTATAACAATCAAACGACTTTGGTAAACTTTTTCATGCCAGATGCTGTTTACAACAATGAACATGCCAATAAAACATTTGTTCATTCTGTTGTGTTTTATTCATTAAATGCTGTGGGTTTTATTTGAAGAATGTCAAATTACTTCATGGAAATGTGCTTTCCCAAGGCAATGTCAGAATTGTAAGCCTGTTTGTATATGTGTATATATTCATACACACTCCGTACCCAGTATTATGGGAAGCATTTTGTAGCCTGTCTGCTGTTCCTCCAGGCTTGTTTTCACACTGCATTTTTAAGTTTCCTTTCCAGAAATGAATTCCTTCCCAGTGAAATTGTTAGGCTCCAAATATGGCTGGCAGCTAAATTTTGCTGCAGAGAGGAAAAAGAAGTCTGAAGAACTGAACATTCAGTTTTCTGATTGCTGAGACACAGCAACATAAAGAGCCTGAGGAATCTAGCAGCTTGAGAGCCAGGCATTGCATGGAGGAGGAATTCCCTCGTTCTTCCTTTTCTGTTTGACCTGTACCTCATCTCTGATGCAAATGAGTGAGAAGCAGAGGAAGCGTAGAGTGCACATCATCCCATAGGTAGAGTAGCTTCATTAAACTTCCATTTATGTATGTGTATAGACTGCCCAAGCATCCTGAGTTGTTGGAAGAGGGAGAAGTATGGCTAAGAAAAGAATTCCAAAAACTGCTTTCTTAGTCCTTAGCCTCATTTGGGAAGCTTCAGTTGAACACATGTCTTTGAAGTTTATTGTAAACCCGTAAATCTTGATAAAAGTCTCAATGAGGATGCCCCTCGGTACTCCATAACTTCCTGTTCAGTGGTTCTGGATTGTTTGGGGAGACTTCTCAGCATTTGCTTTACATTCTGATCATTTTGAGTTTGACTGCATTTTAAAGAAACAAAAGACCCTTGAAAAACCCCTGAGTTTCTAATTAAATTAGTTATACAGAGATTTGATTAATAGCAATGCATATTATTAGGGACTGGGGCATTGGGAAAGTTGAAGGGAGAATTATGTCTTCCCTCCTCCAATTTTAGTTGGGACAGAGAGGAAAGGTAAATGTGAACCATGTCAGGGAGTAGATGTGTGTATATGAGTTGGTGTGAGAGTTGGTGGTGGAAGAGAGTCCATAAAGTAAAAGGCTTTTCTGATTAAATATCCTTTTTGTTCCTAGTGAAAACAATTCACGTTGATTCCAACACCCAAGGAATTTGTTGAAAGTCTTTTATAGACCAGAAGTGGTGAGAGTCTTGAAGGCTAGCAGTGCTATCAGCAACTGCTCATTAATTTATTGGTACTTGCTGTTCAGATTAGCCATAAGCAGCAGGGGATGCTATTGGGAAGAAACTCTGAGAATACGTGGCTGGAGCTTTGTGACATCTTTCAGCATGTCCAATAATAGATGGTAAAATCAATACTCCTAAAAATCATTAACGGTGGAGGAACCATTGTAGCAAACAGTTGAGATGGCTGAGTCAGTGAAATAGATCAGATTTTACTTGAGCTTGATATTGATTTCTTAAATCAACAGTGTTAAATTGGTAATGCTGATATTCACGTTTTATAACACAGATTAATGCCTATGAAGTACATTAAAAGCAGTAACTACTTCTTAAAGAATCTTCTCTGGATATCGACAGTGAAGAGGGAGAAGCATGACTCTAAACATGAACAAGAAAGTTGTCTCGCTGCTTGCTTGAAGTAAAGAGTTTGTGTTCACTGCATCTTTATCTCACAAGGCTAAGTGATGGAGTAGAGTGTATAGAACCCTTAATTAACAGTGGATAGAACTTCAATTGGAATTATCCTAAGGGGTATGTTCATAAAGTGCAGAACGCTGCCGTATGTGGCACTGTATTTAGTTACAAGGCATAGCTTATTTGTAACTGCAGCTGTATGTATGTCTATATATAACGTTTATTCAGTGTAGAAAAGAAAATGCTTTGTATTTAATCTGTTTAGCTCTTGTGCAATTATTAATACTTCACTTTGACATTGAGAGACAATGCCTTAAACTGTCAAGTTGAAAACTCCTCCAGTTATTCTTATGTGTATGTATATAAACACCATTTGTTATTTATGCATAAATGCTGTAGACTACTTTCCTAATAGCATGACCTTTACTCAGTGAGAGGATCCAAGGACTGCTCCATATGGAAGGGCAGAACTCTCAAGGGATAGTCTGTAACTATAGAACAGTGGTTCTTACATTGAAGTTTGATGCTGAACATATGACTTCCATTATACGCAAAAGAAAAAGAAGAAAGAAGCTCTGAGTACATTCATCAAAAAGGGTAAGCATCCCTTCTTTCCGTCTTTCCTCCCAGAATGTGTGTGATACGAGTGATGTGACCCAAAATCTGTACGTTGCAGCTTCAACTATCATATTTCCAAAAAAAAAAAAAAAATTGCTGAAATTGCTAACTGAGGTGGTATAAAGTGGTTCTTACTCCAGAAAAATAACTCCAAGTATGTGTACAGGAAATACTTAAAAGTTGTTTCCGTAGTCACTAATAACTTGAGATTATGTATGCTTAATGTGTTTTTTAATGAGTACAAGTACTGATACGTTTATTTCTGTACAAGCAAAAGTATTAATCCAAAGAAACACTGATACCTTTCTCATTTGTCTTTGATGGGAGGTTTGGTCCAAAGATTGAGTGAATTCAACATTAATTTGAACATGCAGGTTTGGTGCACAAAAACGGATGCTCAATGAAGATGTTTATTGCACTTCTATCCAGCAGTATCTGTTAAAGGTTTATGAAAGCAAAACAGTAGACAAATTTCTAGAACTAACTAAACTGTCTGGTGTTTGAACTTCATATTTCATCACCCAGAAATAGGTCATGAGGTGGGTCGTGCTCAGACTTCACACCTGCTTGTTCCTCCAGACTTTCTAATTCTTTCTGCACTTCCTGAATGACACTACTTTCTTCATAATCAGAAAGAATATCTCTGGGTATTAAACTGATAAATGGCATCTCATCCATGTTTAAGTGATCTTCTTTTTCATTATTTCTGGTTTCATTGGAGGACAGTTCACACACAGATGTAGTACTGTGGCTGCTGGAAAAAGAAGGACATCTGGTCATATATTCTTTTTTTGCTAGTTCTTAATAAAATTCATAATATCCTGCCCCTGTAAAAGCATACTAGCTATATAAAATTGTCAGGTCCACCATAGATGACCTTGTAAACATCTGATTGTTGCATTCTTCACAGCTGGACAGTTGAGAGTTTTCTACATACAGAGTGAGAACCAAGTTACTAATAGCAAAGCATGTTTGAGACTACAACACAAGGTGGCAGTGGACGTCAGCACAGTCTGGCTCCTCTGCCAGAATCAATCATGGTTAGTCCTTTTTGTTAATGTAATACTAAGGTAAGAAGATTTCTGGCTTAAAAGAAATGCAGAAGACAGTGTTTGTCACAAAACCTTAAAGCTGGGAGAACTGAGTATTATCTATTTGGATCTGAATAGACATGTAGGTGTATTTGCTGCTGCTTTGAAAAGTGGCTCTGGTTGTCTGCAATTGGATGTCCCAGTTGTGATGCAGGAACTTCTAAAAGGAGTAAGAATGATTTAGATTTGTTGGCAGAGGAATGGAATTTGATCATCATGCATCTGCTCTGCACTGCTTAGGACAGCATAGAGTCACATGTCCTGTTACAGACTGCAAGGTGATGCTACGTGTGCCAGGCACCTCACAACAAACACGTGCTTAAAGCTGCAGTCTCTCTTTCACTGGCAGTCAAGGGTAAATGGACTAAAGATGTTCTTTAAGCTTATTTTGTGTGCATTTTTAATTGTGTGTTCTGCTTTTTAGGAGTTCTGTGACTTTCACTTCTGAGAAGACTATCCGTGTTCTCTAGGAATATAATATAGTATTTTCAATGTCTTTAGCGGTTACTAATGATATTAGCCAAGAGTCATTTAAAGCAGAGGTGGGCTTTCTCTTAATAAAAAGTACATTCTCTGAATGCACCATTCAGGTTCACAGAATCAGCATTATGTTGCTGTGAGTCACTGGCAGGTGGTATGCACTGTATTTATGATAACCCTAAATTCTTGTGGCTATAGCTGGATGGTTCCGTTTAATTCATTTCCTAATTGATTTGTGTTTTTCGGTATCCTTACCTGACATGTTCTCCTTCCTAAATGTAGTATCTGCTGACGTACCTTAACTGAGATTAATGGTACTTGCACGTCAACTGCAGTTCCTGTGCTGCAGGATGAATGGGATCAGTTCTGCTTGCTTCCTTAGATCATGTATATGAAACTTTACTATCCAGTTGTTTTTTGTGCATAAAACGTAGAGTTGTGCACCAAAGGAAGAAAATATTAACCTATGTATAACTACGTTTCTATCACAGCTTTGCTGTCTTATTAAAAGCTAATATAAAGAAATTAGCAGCGTGGCAACAAACTATTCTTTTACAGGTAACACGTTAAGTCTTCTGAAAGTTTTTAGTACAAAACTTCAGTGGTTTCATTTTCTCCTAATGAAATTGCTGGTAATGCATGTAATTCAACTTCTAAAAACTGATTAAAGCCAAGATATATGAGAAGGTTTAGCTTGTAGCAGAAAACACAGTCAGTCTATTTCATATTCCATGAAACTCATGAAGATATTGATGAGGTCTGCACAGTATGAGGTTTTTCAAGTCTGAACTGCAAGTCTAACTGAAACGTTAGCAAAATCAGATTTTTTTTTGCTATGCTAGAAATGACCTTCTGTGAAGCTGATCCTTAGTACAAAACCATGCCTGTTTTAATCCTACTGAATGTACTAAAATGTCTTGTATGTATGTAATGTGAGCAAGTGAAACATCCTATAGAAGTCTAGACTAACAGAAGATTGTTGGATGAGGGCTGTACTTGGAGAATGAAATTGGAATGATACTTGATTAACTAAACATCTGTTAGTACTTTTTTAATTAAAATGCCATAGAAGCCTGATGCACAGACTTCATTCACTTGGGGAATAAGCCTTTGCCAAACCCAGGCACTTCTGCATAGGACAAAGCACAAAGTCTGAAACAGTTTCAAAACTCGTGATGAGAAAAGCCATCAAAACATTCTGTAGTGTGAAAGGGTCAGCAAGTTCTGTCTGTATTAGAGGAACCCAACAAAATCTCAAGGACTTCCCTTCCTCACATTATGATCTTTACCTCTGAGGTTGGCAGATCAAGCCACTTGCACATGGGCATCGCTCTAGTACTCCATCAGGTTCCAGTTCCCAGGTGATCAGGTTGAGAAGTCTGTTTGAAGGATCATGGCAAGGTTCACCTTCTTCGGGTAATGGAGTGCATACTGGAAACAGCAGTTCTGCATGGCAGAGTGGATGAGTTTTATGAGAAGTTAACAACTGTCTGCTAAACTCAGATGACCTGATCTTTAATATATGTACAAGATATTTAAAAAACAAACAAACTAACAAAAAAACAGTCTTGATGTCTTGTTAGGTCCCCTTACAGATTAGGGAGCCATAAATAAACGTTCATTCCAGTAGGTGGTAGTAAGACATTCCAAGTTTATATTAGTTGTGGTATGGCAAAATAAAGTGTGGAGAGTTCAGAGTTATTCTGTAATGGGCTCGGTCAATGTATACACGCACAATGTATGTACATATGTGTATGACCTACTGGTTTTTTATTTCAAACTGATGCTACGTGAAAAAAGTCATAGCATTTATAGTGAGTGGTCTGTCTTTCTCATTTTGGAGTCAGAGATTACAAAGAAATCTCTGATAAAGCTTGTCAAAACCTGTAAATGTTTTAGGAAGATAACTCATGAAGCCAAAACTGCTCTGAAACTTGCTGAAACCAAACTTAGTTAACATTAGAACTTCACTCTGTAATGCTCTAAATTAACATGGAAAAGTTGAACAGACCCATCTGGCTTTAGTTTTGGTGTTTCAAATGAGCCTTTTCCCTCTTTCTCCTGAAAAGCCCTAGCAGCCTGATCTACCAGCAGGCTGTGAGGGGGTAGGTTTGCCAACTCTCAGGAAAGGTACAGAGTCATCTGCTGTTCTTAGCAATAATAAAAATAAAAATTTAAAAAATTTTTAAAAATTTAAAAAATAAAGTATCTACCTGGAGTAAAAAGACATTTGTAATTATATCCTGTTACAGGTGTACTAGTACTAATTCTATCCTGTTCAGGTGACCTAGGTTAAAAGCTGGGAAGAACCAGTTGGCAGAAAACAGTAACAGAAGCTAAGCCCTGAGTAGGCAGGATTCAGGACTGATGTCAGGTCTGCTGTCTTGTTCTCTTTCCTTTCTCTTGTGAGTCAAGTTTCATGTTCCTGTGTAGATTGACAACATAATCTGGAACATCATTCAATTTGTCTGCCTAGTCAGCACTGCATAGTGCTGTGCCAAGCTTACACGTATCAAGTATAGCTGTAGTCTCACTTGGTGGTCTGCTTCCTCTGATACGAAGAAAAAAACTACTTAGAGTAATCTCATTTATTTCTTTCATAGATTTAAAATTCTGATTTTTGCTATACTGAGTGAAAGCTTGACACAGATCTCTGTGACTTCTAAACGAGTGTGTCTTTCTTTTGTGGCAGTACATTTTTGTGCTCCTCGTGCTCTTCCCCTCTAATGTGCGCTAAGCTTTTCTTTCATTATTGTGCGCCTCTGTCAGGCTGATTCTTGCTCCAAATTTGAGTAAAGCTTTTATAATGAAGTTAAGATAGTGCACGTCCCAGTCCAAAAATGTTTAACCACTTCACCTGAGCAAAAGAGCAGAATTTTAATACTGCATTATAAAATGAATGGGATGAAAAGAAAAGTCGTGTACCTTTCTGAAAAGCACAGCACGTTCCTGGGTTGCAGTCATGTTGGTTCTCACAAATGGTACCATTTTCTCCTCTTGAAATGGCTTTCCTGCACTCACCCCAAACACAAAGCTGGTCTCCACAGCATTCAACATCCCGTGAGCAATGCTGGCAAGTGGAAAAAGCAGATGACAAAACTGTCACTGTAGCACTAATTGCCTGCATCAACAGACAGCTAAGGACAAATCTAAACCTTGCTTCTGAAGATGGCTGCATAGATTTCCTTTAAATGTGTAGATGCAATATTCCTATCGTTTAAGCAGAATTCTCTAAGCTCTCAACTCAAGCACATAAAAGTATTTGCAAGTTAGGCACATCCACAACAGAGCAATGGCACCCTTTCTATACTTTTATTTATATATATTTATATATAAATATATATTTATATATAAAAACCAATTTGAATTGTTTTTTTAGCATAGTCATGAAAATTGGTCAGCAACCAGACATCCTACAGCATCCTGTACTCACAGACAGCCTTTTGTCATCAAGAAAAATAATAAATGAAAAATCGCCAGTGGAAAACATCACTGATTTTTTTTTTTTTTTCCACTATTAAA